GCTACTTACAGGATTTGGTTAAACTTAAAGTTCTAATATGTGCCATGCGCTAGTCCGATGATGATATCGAAGTTATCAACCAAGAATTGAGGTGTTCAAAAACTCGTATTTCTCAAGAACTGTCCGGTAGTGGAACTCCACCAAGTACAGTTGGGACATTACCACTAGAAAGCTTTAAACAACTCCTGCAATTGAATGTGCAAAGATTGTGTGTAACAAGTCATTCGGTGTGATATAGCTATAGCTGCCGCCGCGCCGCGTGCCTGCGAAGCTGGTGTATTTGCGCCAAAGAGCGGTTATACTGGCTATACAGATATAACGGCGTCTAAAGCATTGGTCTTAGCAATGAACTTGAAAGTTTCCCCTCTCAACTCCAGGCGACCCTCGAGGCTATGTCAGCTCCCTGGGTGACTCACACGTGTTCTCAATAAACCGCCCTGCACCCAAAATAGGCCGCCATTAGCAGAGTTCAACTACACACACGTTCTTCGTGCAGTAAAGCAAATTGCGAGTTACTCGCTTACAAATCTTCAGGGCAGAATCGTGGTTGGAGGTCCGAAGTTTGGTCCCTAAGCTTGTTTGTTACGGCATGCAAGGCTGGGCGAGACTTGCTGTAGCCGAGCGTGCACGAAGGATTGCTCGGGAGTGTCCGGCAGTGTTCGGGATTGTCCGGTTTATCTTTCGGGCATTATAGTACAAGTCCATGAGCGAACCTGACATATGTTTCGTTTGTCAATTTCTTAGTCTTTCTAGAAACAACTAGACTGAGCTGCATAACAGTGTATCATCATCATCATCTGTCTACCATCTGTATAGCGAGCATGCAATACATATTTGTTGCTGAAAAGGGATTTAAACTTAAAGTTCGCAGCATAATCTATTTATCAATTCCAATCTGTCTAGTGTTGTCTATTCTTCTTCTTCTTTCGTATCACTGAGATGTAGTTTGCAAACTTGCAAGGGCTTGGCACATAACTCTCAAGGACGACCCCATGCGGTTCAGTTACGCCCTGCAGTATCAGTCATGGCCAAGTTCACTACTGGAAGACTCAGCACGTAGGCAGAACGCCTGCGCGTAGCGTCTCTTCAAATGTCTATAGTCTTCAAATGTGTCGGAAAAATATCGTCTGCAACGGGCGAAATTTCCGGATAGAGCGTAACGCTCAAGGTCATGTCAGTCAAGGTCAACATTAATAGTTTATCTGTTGACGTCATTTGTATCAGAACATAATCTGTAATATCTGTTTACATGGAAAACACGTTGAAAAATTTTGGCGAGCTTTTTAGATCGACACAACAGTTGCTACTTCATATTTTCAGAGTATAGCGTTCAATGTTAATCTCAACAGTCCATTGTTTGAATTTTAAGTTGTGATATTTAGAATCTGTGTCTGTACAGTGTGTACATCTTTGTCTCAAGTGTCTGATGCGAATTCCAGGCAAGCCAGTTTCTGTTGCCGTCCAAACTCCCGTCTTTTCTAGCCGGGTTACCAAAACCTATTATAGCTCCCGAGTCCTACATCCTCTCCTATTTGCGGAGATGATGTAGGACTCGGGAGCTATGAGACTTGGGAGCTATAAATTATAATAGGTTTGGTAACCAGGCTAGTCTTTTCCGGTTGGTCTGTTGCGAACATGAAGGAAAGAAAATCCGGGGAATTTCTGTCGACATTGGGCAGGAAATACCACCAGGGCGACAGGAGGAGCGCAGACGTTTGGTAGGGCGAGAAGGAATGCGGTGCAAGTTCTTAAGGCCCAAAAGGTTCAAAACTCTTAAGGGGTCAATCGAAACTGTTTAAGGCAAAGGAGATCTACAGGAAAGAGGGTTGTTGCGACGCTGCGTTCAGAAAAAATGAAACTTCAGAAAATGCAACTTACAAGTGCGAATTTGTAAAGTAAAAATTGAGCTCTGTATTAAAGATTTACATATTTTGACACCCCCCCCCCTTCTCTACAATGCATAATGGACTAACACTTGGCATCTGGATTCTTTCTATGTGAGAAACATTCTCATTATTTTTTTTACACATATTCGAAATATTCGGGTGGTTGTAGGTTGGTCGTATGGGGTCTTAGAATTCTAATGATAGACGATTTGCAACTCACGATCCCATTATTCTTGATCGTGTTCGAAAGTATCTTTAATATTTGTTACGTTGAGTCAGATTCTATTGCCCTTCAAATGACCTTTAACTACAAGATACGTTCTTGTGAACAAATGTCTGCCTTGACTTAACCGTGAACTTCAAACACCAACTCCATTCTCCACCACACGTGTTGAAATTCATCAAGGATAAAGACTGTAAAAGGCTCTTTGTTCGTCGTATATAATTATGTGTCATATTTGTTAAAATGTTTAAACTGCAACCTTGTCTGGGTCAAAATCGTTCAATTCTACCCCCCCCCCCCATTTCTGGGCCCCCTTTCTTGCCTCGTGCGCTATATCAACAGACTAATTTTGTTATCCGTCGTTTATTTCCTCACAGTAAAATAAAGTCAGAATGACATTTGTCACAACTGTCAGTCATATTTTCAAGGTCAGTAGTGTTAAGTTTCTTTTCCCAAGTGCAATTGGGGACCCTTGGTCTCATAGACTGCTATGATAGAAAATATTCCTAATGTAGTCAAAATAAGAATCTTGAACGTGTCTTGAGAATTTATAGCTGTTGTTTGAAGGTCACTGAAGCAAGTACGGATCCCTGAACTTGGCATTGGTTTATTTTGGTTTGCTGATATCCTCTATCGGCATATTTTATCAGAGCTGCTGTCAAGATAACATGAGAGAAGTTACTTGTGCCGTCCTTAGATCACTGTGTGTGTGTGTGTGTGTGTGTGTGTGTGTGTGTGTGTGTGTGTGTGTGTGTGTGTGTGTGTGTGTGTGTGTGTGTGTGTGTGTGTGTGTGTGTGTGTCTGCGTCTGTCTGTGTACTTCTGGTGTCTGTGTGTTTGTGTCTGCCTGTCAATTTGTGTTTCTGCGATTCCTAAAATACATACACGATCTCTTATATCTAATGGAACACGCGTTCTGTTCTAATCACCCAGATCGAACGTAGTTCGGGTTCTAAAAAAAGTGGGAAATTTGACCACCGTGGATTGCCTACTTGCAATGCGTGCATATTTTTGCAGTTTTGGTCACCATGAACAGCCCTGGCTTGTAAGTTGAGACCTGTATCATGTAGTAACACAAATCAGACACGTTAGTGTTACACGACGGTATGTTGTTGGGTAAACAGCGGAGGGAAGAACAATTCGACTGGATACAAATGACGTCATCGACCTAAGACCCCCATAAGGTCTGTACAGCATCAAGACAAGACGCCGTCATAAATTTTTCGGTAAATGTTAGAAAAAAGCTTAAATTGTTTATTTGTATTTTCTCCTTTGCTCGTCTATCAAATTGTCGCCCCATTGGTTTTGGAATGGCCGAGATATTACAGTAAAATGTCCAACATGTACAAGTTTGCATCATTCAAACCAAGCCGCCGGGGGGGGGGGGGGGCAAAATTTAGTCATTTTGAGGCCTCATCAAGACCTACCCATTTACCAAGTTTCATGACCTCCACACATAGCTTCTTGAGGTATCTGTATCTGTATAGCCGGTATAACCGCCCTTCGGCGTAACACCAACTTCGCAGGCACGCGGCGCGGCGGCAGCTGGCTACATTACACCGAACGACTTCGTGCTAATATAATAAGACACATACAAACGTTACCAAAGACATAACCTTCTTGGCGAAGGTAAAAATTGGAATAAAAAATCATGTGTGCAAAGCTATGTTATCTGGGGTTCGCAGTAGTGTTTATATTATCGGTGGCGAGGAGCGAAACCAAGACCGGAGCCGCATTCTTCGGTCAGATTGCCATAACAAGTAGTTAGCAGGCCCGACACAGCTGGTCAGTCATGCAATACAGAATCGCGCAAAACTCCGGCGTGTAAATCTGCCGTATGTCTCAGGACTTAGCACGTTTCTACAGATATAAATATGTTGTTTTCGATGCTTAAAACTCATCCGATGCATTTTAGGCTGGCAAAAAAGTAAATATTCTGGATAAGGAATCTGTCTGATATTGACATTTACTGCCATTTCGTCACTGCACATTTTCATCATCATTTCAAACTTTTGAATTTGCGTTTGAAATAGCTTAAAAACAAGTACTCCTTCGGCGGACCAACTCCTCTGGCATCATGTTATCTGTCTATTTCACATTTGGCCGATTTCTACTCTTCGAATTCTAGCCTGATCAGACCGCTTTGGAAGAGTGTGCGACTACTAGACTAAGACCCACTAAGTATACTCTTTCCAGCCGCTTCCGAAGCCTGGTAGAGGCTACCCCACGTTTCTCCCATGCAAAGTTTCTCCCATGCAAAGTTAGTTCTCTCCTGCTATGTGAAACAGAGCCCGGGTCCATTCGATCCCCGTTTAAAGCCCACTTAGCGTGCCGGGCAGATAAGGAACATACAGCTGACACGGTTCACCGCCTGCCAGGGATTGGCCCTGACGTCATGCACGGCTGAGATCCATCATGCACCGCGGGGACCGTCCGTTCAACATCCGGGGACTGTTGCAGACAGGTTCGCCCGTGTTGTCGGTCATTCAAGAATTTGACATTTTGAGCCAAAATAAACAAATTTTGTCTGTATTGAGGTCCAGAAATTAACAATATCATCATTTGTTTTAGCAAATTCTGATTTGTTGGTTAACACTTTGGTTGATTTTTTAAAAGGTTAACTCTCTATAAACAGCTCCAAAGAGTTGCTAAAAAGTACCAGAAAGTCGGCAAATAATCTAACCCTAAAAGATATGTCAGAGGATTAACCCGATGGACCATAGAATATAATTCCTTCATTTGCTCAAATTCCACTATTTTCAAGCAATTGGTGTGGGGTAGAGACTGTTAAAAGTTAAAGCACTTTTTCAAGAATCAATAACATACTCTGTTGGCCTCCAAGTGTCTCCCACACCCAACCTCCCCCTTAACACTAACGGATCGTCCCTTAAGTCTGAGGAATGCCAGCCGATACGGTCGTGAGTTGGCGACGACTTCGCGGGGGAATGTATGGTTCTTTCCGGACTTGGCATTGCCCGAAAATCTAAGGGGGAAAACTCGTAGTCAGCAGGCCCGTATCTCTCACCGCCTGACAGAGATCGACGACCTGAGAATTTTTCCCGCTCGAACACGGCACATCCTTGCCAAGAGGACGACTTTGTAACCTCGCCCCTCATTGGTCCTCGCGCTGCAGGTGAGATTCTTTCGAAGCGGGGTTCTAAATCTGCCATCCAGGCGGCGATAAGGTTGCAGAGTTTGGGTGGGCCTTCTGATAAACGGTGGAAGTTATACGGTGTCTACGATAGATAGATGGGGAACTGTATATGGGACACCTGTGGGAAAATGTGGGGCATCGGTGAAGCTCGAACATGGGCGTTTCGGGTCGTAGTTTGTGGGTTATTTGGTCTCAGTGTTGATGTAAACATGTTGTATTTGTTAGTGCAGTCACCTGTCACTGCGTTCTGAAGTGCTTCAGTGGTAGTAGAGAGATGTGCCTTTTTTCATGAGGAAGAAAATGCATACTTTTCTAAAAGTAACCTCTCTTGTACAAGTCGAAATAGAGACCTTGAACATTTACTCAGGTAAATGCTTTAGAATCGTCTCTTTCTACGTATACGAACAATGCATTTTCATTCAGTTATTACCGACACATTCAATGTAAAGATACGTATACAACATTCGGCGTCGTCTAATTTATGGCTTTGTAGCATTAGTAGAACAACAGGACCGCACAACGATATTCCCAGAGCTTTGGTGTCAACATTGAGGTGTTTGTTGACTGTCACTTTCCACATAAAAACCTGCCTTGTTGTGTCAATTAGCCCAAAGGCACGGTGTTTAACCAAGATGAGGTCACTGTGCTAGCACAGCCGACACAAAAGTACTTTTAGAATGACTAGATTTCGTTAACGACTTTGGTTATGTTTCTAATGATATTAATGTAACTTTATATACAGATAACTGCTATTAGGTATTGGCTTCTCAGCCATCAATTATAAGAGGAATTCGAGTGCAAATAAAGGTGATGCTGTCGACTGTGACGATTTTGCAGCGGGTCAGATAGCACACGCAAGGCAGGGACCAAATTTGGACTCACGTGTAGTTGCAACGTTGGTTAGTGTGGGGGCGAGCTGGTATGAATGTAATGTGTGTGAATCACGCGCTAATTATCTCATCACTCGTCGACGGCCGCCATGTTTTTTGGGTTCTATTTTTCTTACACCGATCTTGTCGCAAGACATCCGCTTAACTTACAGCGGGATTTTGTCCGAACAACTCGGATGGCGGGTCATGTTCTCTGTGTATTGTTTCATGTTTTGGAAACTTATTTTGTTTCCAGCCCCAACTGAAAGATGTGTATGGAGACAAAATACCGTACGGGCCATTGGATACGGCCATTTTTGTATGTATTACGAAAAGACATATATAAACTACATTATACTTTACTTTGTACTCTTTTTAGATGTTTATTTTGTATTTGCACACAAACTGTATCGTTGAATCAACTGAAAAAATAACAGTCTTAATTGTGCTATAGAATCTGATTACGTAATGTACTTCTATTTTCAAAGCGATATACTAGTATTTTGTAACCCCAATAAATTCAAAGACTTCAAATGGTAACTGCCTGAGAAATAGATACTGACTGGCCAATTTGATACTGCCCTGCCAAATTTGATACTATCTTTGCAGCCACCAAAAAGTCTGCTTGGAGATTATAGGAATGCCTGGTGGAGGCTAGGCCCAAGTGATGCAGCATGGGGGTACAGGGTCTGATAATTCTCCAACAGCGATGAAGGAATGTGACACCGAATACCGCGCTACTTTTACATCCGAGCGTGACATGGCATTGGCTACGCGTCTTTTCCGCTCCCACCAACTTTTGTGTTCAACTTAAACCCAGGAGTACTTGTCAGAATCCCTACATTTTACAATGTTCTCTATGTTTAAGTGTGGAATTTCCTGCAGCTGTATTTCCCCCCGTGCTGTTTTCTCAGGGTTTAACTTGTGTGAAACCAGGTCATCCCTTTTGTTTATTTTGTCATGTTGTTGAATAGATAGACTCCTGTGGTAGACTAACAAAATAGTACTAGTACATGCAGCATCAACCCCCCCTCCCCATTTACAGTAAGCTCCCATGGGAAAGGTAGCATAAAGAATTACGCCATTAGTAAAAAGAAGAAAAACTAACCACGTTGTCAGTGTGGGAATACTAGTAACATATAACCCAAAGTCATAAATACTTAACGGATCCGTTATATAGTTTCGATATTTTTTTTATATTCCAAGATTTTATGACTAGGCCACCGCCAACACAGAGGACAAATACAGGACAATATTCATTTTCACTTGAGTTAAGTGAGGAAAGTCGTGTAAAGTGACTTTCCCAAGGGCACAAATCGTTGGCATATGTCAGGACTCGAACCCGGGACCTTTTGGTTCCCAGTCGAGCACTCTGTCGTTACACCAACTTTTCGATATTGAGTGCCAAATTAAAACACCAGCACCGCATCACCACAAAACTTTGGGTAGATGCTTTATTTTCTCAAAGTTTTATCCCAAACTTTGTATTTGATTTCGAGCAGATGTTCCGATGGCAATAACCTTGTCCTCTACCCCACAACTCTACCGTTTTCGGGGAGAATGACTCGTAAATAGCATACCTACCGATGTGCTCACGACAGATTTCTCATTTCACCACTATTAACACATTACCACCCTATTGGTAGATATACGACACTTGAAAACTGACGCCCTTGTAGCAATGATTTGACCTTGAGTCGGAGTCGTTCTGGACCGGTTGTGTTCTCGCGCGTTCTCGCGTGACCTGGTGACCAGGTCTCTGATGTGCCGAAATGCATCATGACATGCCGGAAACGAGACATTCCAGGTGAAATTAACCTGTCGGTGAAGGTTAGACATCCAGGTAATAAGACACGCCAAAAAAACATTTACTCAAGCAACTGGATATGATTTGGAAACAGTCAGACGTTTCAGGTAGCATCCACTACCTTTGGTCAGTGACACCAAGAGACCAGAGGAGAATTGCAGGTTTATAAGCACGAAACCTGCATTTCTCCTCTGGCATGTCTGGTCTCTGACAGTTTTGGTGAAATTAACCCGCGTTTGGCTATCTTTCCTCCCGTGGAGAAAGGCATTATAATCCTGGTGGCGACATGAACTCAGCTGAACGCCCAGCGACAAACCTGTAATACTAATAGTTGAAGAAGGTCAACTTTCAAGACCAAGACGAATCCAAAATCTCAATTAGGTCTTCCTTGACTTGGTGGTGTTATGTCACTTGATGGCTCTGTGTATTATACATATTTCCCGAACTGTGTCTTTGATAAACTGTAGCCTCTACCAGGCTTTGGGATGTGGCTAGAAAGAGTAAAAATTGGCCAAATAGACAGATAACAACATATCAGGGGAGTTGATCTGCTAAAGAAGTAAAATTTTGGGAGCAGTTTGCCGTTCGTAATCGGCGGCGAAAATTTTGCGTAATTCGTAATCACTCCCCATGCAGGCCCTCCTTCTTGGCCTCACAACAGATATAGCCGTCCTACCCTTCCCTGTGCCTCACCTGTACACAGGTGTGTCCAGGTGTGTCTTACTGTGTTTGCCGTGAAGACGTTCTGCCTAAGCTCCCCGGAATCACCTGCGTGTTTGATGTATCTTAGGTTTCTCCAAATCCCCTTAGTCAGAGGGGCTCGCTGTACAGGGGGGTATTAAGGTTAACTTAGGCAGCTAATCTCGCCTCCATTCTTCGTATATTTGGAGCTTTAAAACTCGTTTGTAAGAAGTGAGAAGTAATAGGAAAATTGGAGATCCGGAAGTGTTCATTCAAAGAGATGTTGTCGCCTGGACATGAAAATCAATTACGATTTAACTATCTTTTTGTAATATATACATAATAATATACGAATGTGTAAAAAAGACGGCCTTTTTTGCTATCCAGACATACAAATGTACATCTGTACCCAGAAGTTCTAGTCTAGAATCGAATATGGGAACCCTAGCTAGCAAACAAAAAAGATGGCACCCAGGCCTATGACATTACACACAGAATACACCAGAAGTGTCCCTTTAAGTGTCCCGATCTTTCTTCTCGTGTTGAACAGCATACAGGAATGCGGGATCCCCTTGTTGAAACGCCCCTTTGTTTATCCGCTGTGCCGGTGTTTTTTCAGACCCAGGCCGTGTCTGTAAACCAGCCCGGGGAGCGGACCGCTTTGAGGCAGGTCTCTCTGGGTCACGTGTTTTGTGTCGTAAACAAAACCTTAGAACACAGCCCCGTTATACATAAAGGTGTGCTCCTGTTTGTTGCCTGTGCCAGGCTTCGGGAGGCGGCTGGAAAAAGTAGAAATCGCCAGGGGAGCTGGAGAGAACAGTTTGCCGCGATGCATATTCTCTAGCGGAAGGTGCACCTGTTTTCAGTCGAGTGTTTCAGTTCCGTTTCACAGCGCACAGATTACTAGTATTCTCCATAAGCCAGTCGTGCGTTTTCGTATTTTATCGGAAGTGTTCGGGTCAGCTGGTTTTGTACAGAAGCGAGGGTTCTCCAGAAATCAGAGGTTGTATAGAAGTGTGTTGGGTTTCCTCACGGGTGTTCTAACGCACAGTCGGGCGTAGGTCACACCAGGTGACAATATACAACTCCATTCGTGTAACTAGGTCACCTGAAAATGCCCCCAAGTGCTGCATTATGTAACATTGGGACGATAAAAACCTTCTATTTTCGGACATTTGATTTGATTTGTTATACTAGTACTATTTTTGTTGAATGACTACATACACGGAGTAGAATTATTTGAGAATGGGACAGAGATTGTTTCAGTGAGGGCAAAATGTTTTCGCGCTGATTTTGACGTATACATATATATAGGTGTTCGACGCGTTCGAACCGGAAATAGAACGGGAGGTTCGACGCATTCGATCCGGAAATAGAACATGATATTCGACACGTTCGATCCGGAAATAGAACATGATATTCGACGCGTTTGATCCGGAAATAGAACAGGAGGTTCGACGCGTTCGATCCGAAACGCGTTCTACTTGCGGGAGGCCAGCTTTGACTTGACAGCTGCGCCCCCTGGCGGATAGACAGGCTGCATTGGCACGCCGTCTCGCGTGACGTTTCCAGAATTCCTGAGGTGGTCGATACGTGTCAATGACCGGAATGACTGACAAGCCCACATCACGACTCACTCACTACACAGACTTGTTTCTCTTCGTAGAACTATTTAGCTTCAAAATAAACTACAAACATTTTTCTCGCATCGTCTTCCAAAAAAAGTTCTAGATGGCACTCGTGATTTCGACCTTTAGATTTATTTCTATGTCCTCGAATCTTGGCACAGGTGATATCTTAACTTCCCCGTTGGTCCCAAAGTCATATGAGAGACACCCCCTCCCCCTGTGTGGGATAGATGATTACCAACCTCTACAACACGAACCACGTGTTGGGTACTCTCCAAGCAGAAGTTAAGGTTTCGTCTAATTTTTGACGTGCTTTTAGGCTTTTTTATGGAGCTTTCTTCTTTATACATGTACTGGTATCTTTATTTTTTTTACGCCAAACCAAATGAGTGGCAAAAGGATACAGCCTGGTCAATTTGATACTGTCTTTACTTTCGGTGGCTGCAAGAGCCTTATGCAGCCACCGAAAGAACTGCTTGTAGATTAGTGTTGATCAGGCCGTCCGATCCTGCATGCCAGACGAATTTGTCAGCTTTAATCTGTCTCTCTGTAATCGCTCGTGTCTTGTTGAAATGCCTCACAGTGTGGTTCAGATCCCGACCTTGGCTCAGTAACACCCAGCGAGTGACAGGCATGCGGCCGATAATGAAATAAATATGGCCTGTTGCTGTATCCAGAACCGTGCCTTATCCAGAACCATGCTTTATCCATGGTTTTGGATAGCCCTCGCATATAAACTTTTTCTCTCCCTTATCCAGAACAGTGGTTTTGGATAGCCCAGAGCCGTGCTTCATCCAGAACCTTGCTCAAGTACAGTTCTGGATAGTTCACGCGCATCCATCGCGGAACCGTGCTTTATCCAGAACCATAGTTTTGGATATCCCGCATATCCAGAACCGTGCTCATCCAGAACCATGCTCAGACGTGGTTTTGGATAGCCCATGCGTAGCCAGAACCGTGCTTCTTCCAAAACCATGCTCAGACACGGTTCTCGATAGTCCACGTGTATCCAGAATCGTGCCCCGGACAAATCTATGTTCTTGGATACATAGAAACATGAAGGTTACCAAGCCAAGTTTGTTACTCCGTGAAGGAGGTCAGGACCTCCGGACGGAGTGTTGTGATCGGCTGATTTTTCATGTTTGCAGTCAAAACACTGGGTTCTCTTTGTGTAATCGGCACGCAATTTTATACGCCGTCTGCGGGCATGCCCGTGTTGATGCACGAATGTGTATTTTTGCCGTTGCTGCTGTCGCGGTCAATGTAATATTGCAGACGCACCCCAACAATTACGAGGCGAATTGGAATGGTCCAGAAAAACGCGTTGTTTGGAATAGCAGTGGGGGGGTGGAACTTCATGCAGATACGGGGTGGTTTTGATGAGTGGTTCCAGATGCTTTTGCCCATGCTTAAGAGATGCCAAGTTTTTTGGAAGATGTTCGCAGCCAAAACGCATTCTTCCGTACGTCGCATTTCTGTGTAATTTCGCATGTGGTGTGGCATTATGTCCGGGATGATGCACGTCTTTTTATTTTTACCGTAGCTGTTTTGATATTGAAGTAAATGCATATTTTAGAAACATCCCTACTTTTACAATCCTGTGGAATAGGCCGTAGGTTTAGGCAGTTGTCTGGTAGCAGAGGTACTGTAAGCAGATATCCTGGTTATCTGGCCGGCGGTAGTAACACTCGCGGTGCTTACCGCAACTGTTGCTGGATTTTGCCCTGTTCCAGGCGCGCTTAATTAGGTACAGGCACGGTAAGACGGTGGGACTGTGTTTGTTACTAGACACGACCATGATAGTCCGATCTTTATGTGAATGCAATGATTGTGTGTGTGTAATTAAAATGAACTTCGAACTTGAAGCACAGTATCTTTACACGCCCTGGGAGCAGTAATGGATTTAGCTCTTTTTATGTTTTATGCTTGTGACGCGCCCTCATTGTATTAACCGTTGCCTAATTATAATGTCTGCACAGTAGGTCTGGCGTTGACGCTTGGGATTTTGTTGAAATATATAAAACTTCACGGAGGATTCTCACCTATGGCTTCTTGTTTTTTTTTGCTTGTACCAAACTCTCGCCGATTCTCGTTCTCCAGGTCACGTGAACGATAGCTCACCATGGACATTGACGAGTTGACGCGCCGGCGAGAGGAACGGCGCAAGCGCAGAGAGGAGGAGAGGTAAGAATAGTGTTCGATTTTCGTATATATATCTTTTAATGTAGGAATAGTATGAGTTAATTTTTAACCTATATTACAACGATATAGTATACCCTCTGAAAATTTCAATATGCAGAGCTGATGCTGCTGATATTAATGTTTACCGAAGGAAAACGTTTTGTTTTTGCTCTGTTCCAAACACTGACCTCTGACCTGGTCAGTGACCAGACTGTCTCTCACCATGGTGACTGGTTTTGGGTTACATAATGTTGCAATTTAACAGTAGGAGGGATTTAGAGAAGACCATCCGCGAAGGTAAACACTATGCATTTGTTTGCAAACGTTACTCCCTAGTCCATTTGAAGTTCACAACTTGAAAATTAAATATCTCTGGCCCTTGTGTATCCCTTGTTGGAGATATGTGCAAGACAAAATACTCCATAAACTGTGTAAAAGATGGTACTACTAGTGTTAGATAAAATTGAACACTAATCTCCCGGAAGTATAAAAGTCTACCCACCGATGGTTTCAATAAGACAACCCCGGGTCACTGCCCATAACCCTGAACCTACCCGGAACTTTCAAATCGGGGGATTATCTTCATAAACCACCAGATCTAGGAGATAAATAGATCTCCACAGCTTTCAACCCCCATCCGCGAACCCTGTCTAACCTTAGACTCGCTTCCAGGCTTCGGGAGGCGGCTGGAAAGAGTAGAAATTGGCCAAACAAAGGGATGACATAGCCTTTCCCAGGCTTCGGGAGGCGACTGGAAAGAGTAGAAATAGAGGGATAGCATAGCCTTTACCAGGCTTCGGGAGGTGGCTGGAAAGAGTAGAAATTGGCCAGATAGAGAGATAACATAGCCTCTACCAGGCTTCGGGAGGCGGCTGGAAAGAGTAGAAATTGGCCAAATAGACAGATAACATAGCCTCTACCAGGTTTCGGAAGGCGACAGGAAAGAGTAGAAATCGGCCAAATAGAGAGATAACATAGCCTTTACCAGGCTTCGGGAGGCGGCTGGAAAGAGTAGAAAATTGCCAAATAGAGAGAGAACATGCCAGGGGAGTTGGTCCGCTAGAGAGTACGTTTTCTGTGTTGGAATAATAACGCGATGACTTTGATATCGTTTGAAGATAGCAACTCCGCACAGGCTCCATGGGTCGCAAAATGTATCCTCTCTGGCTGGCTAGCTCCCTTCATTTCGGCCGATTTCTTCTATTTTCCAACGATCCGCTGTGCCTGGTAGAGGCTAAAACCCACCCGTATATGTACAAAGTGTACATCTGGGTTCAGAGACCTATAATCCGACTAGAAAGCGATCCCCCTAGCCCTGTCTTGTGGCCCACAGTAACACACACATACCCAGTATATCAGTTGTCCCAGTGTAACATACTGACACAAATGCCATGCCTTCAAGTACCAGAGCCATGAACCAAGGATCGAGGTGTTCAAAAATGCATTCTTTCCTAGAACTACAAATGTATCACAGAGTGGAACAGAGGGGCATTATCATTAAATAGCTGTAAACAATGTTTAGGTTAGGTGTAACAAGTCGTTTGGTGTAATGTAGCCAGCTGCAGCTGCCACCACGCCGCGTGCCTGCGAAGCTAGTGTGTTACGCCGAAGGGCTATACCGATACCAGTTGCTCCAGTGTAACATACTGACACAAAAAGTGGTGAGCGGGCTGTATTGTGTTGACACCGCGAGCATGCGCAGTTAGCAAGAAGTCCAGATGTAAACAAACTCAGGAAACGAGGTCTGACGCGAGAAATGGGCGGGGTGTACCATCCTGACTCGTGTTAGTGTATCCGACTTTAACTTCTGTCAATCACTGTGTAGGGATGCCTCAAAAGCCATGTAGAGACTGTAGAGACATTGTGTGCTGTATCTATCCAATGGCCCATTCCTTTGGATGAAACTATAAATTTATCATTAATTGTCATTGGCAAATGTTACCGTATATTACACAGATTTTCAGGCAACGTAACTGATTTTGAAAAGTCAACAATAATAGAGACAGAATATAAAACATAAACAGGCACTGTATACCAAAAATACATAAAATATAAAAAAACGCCAGTTACAATTGGCCATAGATGTGAAATGTTATGAGTGTATCAACATTCAAGTAGTTCAAGCAATGGCCGAAAGATTTCAGAAATACGCTGGATCTAAAATAAAATTCCATACGTCTCGATGCCTGCCATATATAGCGTACACCCGTGAGAACTTTGTGCTTGTAGACTCCTCCAAGCTGTGAGCTCTCAGCTCCAAGACTTTACCTCATTCTCCCTTTTATCTTCGCTATGGATTTCTCTTGTAAATTTCCTAACCAACCCCCGAAGCCCTCTACAAACTACAAACAGGTGGTCTGTGTAAGCATAACGACCCGTGGGACCGTTAAAGGCTTGTTCTGCGGGTACCCTCCCCCCAGGATGTCATACTCAGCGAGTTTTGGGAGTCTGCTTGCCCTTTTTCGTAAGGCGTATTAAATTAGGTCTTTTTAGTCTTCGTAATCCGTAGGCAGCCTCCCCAAAAATCAACGTAATTCGTAATAGAACATTAGGTGCAAAGCGTAAAGTCGTGATCAGCTCTGAGGCTTTAACGTAATTCGCGGTGACAATTTTGCGTAATTCGTAATCACTACCCCCCCCACCCACCACCACCACCATACCCCCCCCACCCATGCGTAATCACTACCCCCCAGTAAACCTATGGAGGAGTACTGTTAAGTCTGCAAGTCGGCCAATGCACCTAGTTGGAAGGAGGAACTAAGGTCTAAGGTTAGACCCCCCCATGCAGGCCCTCAGTTTTCCCCTCCCCTTATAGCCAAACTCCGTACGTCCACCAGCAGGTGTATCTAACTATGATCACACAGGACCTAAAACAAACTTTCTCGTCGGGAGGAATGCCTGGAGACCGGCCAGCGCTGTCAATGTCGGCTTATGGTCCTCTCTGGGTCTTACTTCCAAATTTGGGCAGTGATGATGTCAGGAGAAAATTCTTGAGGCGAGCGCAGGAATCTCCTTGTTCAAACAGCCTTCTAGACTTTCCGGTAAACTTGTGTCCAGGCGACGTGCGGAGCTCTACCGAGGAAAGGTGGCTGTTTTTCCGATCACAGAACTCAGAGAGGGCTCCGTACTTCTCCTGTGCCAAGCCTGGTACACTGTTCAGCGATCTCCAAGGTCTTTTCGACGAGACACCTGCGAGATCTGTGTGGAAAGACGATTAGGGATACCGCTGAGCTCCAGTCGAAGGCATCGCTGGTGAACCTGTAGTGTATCGCTATCATGGACAGGTTTGTTTAGCTTTGGATTTTCTTGTCGTGTGTGTTTCAGCCGCTTGTTTTAAGCGAGGTAAACGAACGCAGATATTCAGGGAAAGTCTTGGTTATTCAGCGGAGTATTTCTGGTGGATAGAAGAGGAGGTTTGTGTGTGGGATCTCGTGGGAACGATATAAGTCATGTTGAAGTGGGACGGAGTTGTAGATAGATATCGCCTCCGGTATGTCGTCCGAATCTGCACAATGGGATGCGACTCAGTAAAGGCCCCCTAACCCCTCAGACTGGGCGATGTGTCCGCTTTGGATCAAAACCTCTCTATCGGCGCTGTTATTCAATTAGCTCCTTTAAAAGCCAAAGGTTTGAATAACTGCTTGTTTTGTCTGCGTTTCGAGCCAAATTGGGGTTAATTTAGCGGAGAAAATTGGCCGAGGTACACCACATTTTCCAGCCTCCTCCTCTAGAGTAAGAGACCGAGAAGTGGCAGCGACAATTCATCCCAGTGGCGGCTGGTTTTGATGTGTGGCTGGCGCCGAGCGCAGAAGCCAAATTCCTGCCATGTGCGGAGGAATATCTTGTTTGTAAATTGTTGTAAGAGTGCCATGTTCGCGTCGCGTTTCCACCCGCGCCCGGCCGGAGTTCTGTCAGTCCGCGCCGGCTGGGAGTCCTCAAATGTCGTCTGATGCTCCCGCTTCTCTCCCAAAGCTTTACAAACAAACGTCGCCGTTTTTTTGTGTCAACTTTGAACCGCAGCTACAATCTGTAAACGCAGAAAGTAACTGTTTGAATGAAAGAGAGAGTCCTAAACTGTCGTCTGAGGTTCCCGCTCTTCTCCCAAAGCTTAAAAACAAACGTCGCCGTTTTTTTGTATCAACTTTGAACCGCATCTACAACATTTAAACGCAGAGAGTAACTGTTTGAATGAAAGAGATTTCTAGGCCTTCGCACAAGTAATTGCTGCTCTAGCAACTAAGAAATGTTGCAAATGTATCAGTTGCTTGAGTAACAATTCCTTGTACATCTCATTACCTGGATGTCTAACCTTATTCGACGTCCTTGCTTTTTATTTGAACAAAAAGGGCTTTCTAGATGGCATCCCAGCAAGCCACTCGAATATTTGCACACAGATTGTGATGATATATTCTGTCTCGTTTGATTATGTTAACTACAGTATTTGACAGTTGCACTTCCTCTTGCGACAAACTCCTGCGACAGTTGAAACACAAGATTCTTTGTAGCATTTTTGCCACACACTCTTCAGTTTAAGTCTTACTTTATGCGTACGATGTAGCTACTTAACACTACTGTGTTGCACGCATATGTTGTATAGACTGACAAATACCAGAAAATGTAAGCAAGAGAGGAACACGTAGTCGCGTCGGCGATTGTACATGACAAGTTCCAGGGTTCGTGTTGCCTGGTAACGTAGAACATAACTTACTAGTACCCCTTAAATTCCGGACTCTATCTACTGACATGCCCTTCCTTTCTACTCTCCAAGAGGTTTAGTCTTCGGACTATTTTTGGCGTGTTTTAGGCGTTTTTATCTGGGTTTGTTTTTGTACCTTTAAGCTAGCGAAATGATGGAAAATGGTATAACTGCCTGGCAGATGTCCAATTTGATACTGTCTTTTGCAGCCACCGAAAGATCTGCTTGGAGATTACGTCCCTTCATGGACGTCTAACTCTCTTCTAGTTTGGCATTCAGAGAACTTTCCCTCCATTCCACGGGCCATCTGGTCCATACTAGCTGACACATGAACTTGGAAATATTTGGGAGCGAGTCAGAAGGTCCCCGCTTGAATTAGTGGCAGTTTATTTACAGCGGCATTGAAGGGGCGGCGGCATTTGTTGCTGTCTTTCTCAAGCAGTGAGATTTTCTAGCTCATTTCCGTTTGTATCGCCCCTGGCTGTGGTTCGGGTTTTAACACGTCGGTATCAGTTACGAGACTTGTAAGTTGGATGGGAGGAACCAGGTTTGCTATAGACATTTTAGAACCGAATCGTGTTCGATCTGGCGTGATTCGAACGGAACGTTCGTTCGATTTGGAGTCACCGGCAACTTCAGACATTTTAGAACCGAATCATGTTAGACCTGACGTAATTCGAACGGAACGTTCGTTCGATTTGGGGTCACCCACGGTCATTTACAGTAAACCCGCAACTTCAAGCCCCCTTTTTACGCGGATATCAATTACCCCCTCTACCTATCCACGATGCATGACTTGCGTAGAAATAAGGTGTTTCGATCACAACAAAAAGAAATTCAACTTATCTCAATCGTTTAGCGTGTAGCAATTTCAAGAAATCCACGTTTTACTTCAACAAAGAAGTTGTTTTTACTTCAAAAAAGAAGCCCAGTTGCATACATTCCTTGTTCGTCATTCTCTAAAAAAATATGAGGCTAGACTGAAGCTAGCCATGCATTTGCGTGCAAACATTCGCGGCATTTCTTCCTGCGCGCCATTTGATATTGAAGTTGCCTCTTCGGGTTGACCATCACTCAACCCCCACGAACCGATTACAGCCGATAAGAATAGCCTCCGTAGCAGGCTTATAGAACTGGGGGTTTGGTGGTCTTCAGCTGTTTTCTGATTAGCCCAGTTCTAAAAAACGGGGGTAATTCAACCAGGCCGGTTATATTGTCTATATGCAATCAGAAAATAGCACATAAAAGCTCCCAAAGACCCTGAATACCCCCAAACCCCCCAGTTTTGGCATGCTATGGAGGCTACGATAAGAAGGTGTTTTCTGTCCGTGGTTACGCCAAAGCCTACGTGAACACAGACCGGTGAAAGGCAACTGTCAGCGGGGCCCACTCTGAAGCTTAGCGCCAACTGTGTTGCTCCATTTGTTGCTGCACCAATCCAGCGGGACGTTCCAAAATTTTTGGGGGTGGGGGGCACGGGAGGGGAGAGGTTAAGCTCTGCTTTTTCATCCACACCAACAGTAGAAAAATTGTCGACAACAGATACTTTGCCCTTATGATTTTTAAGTGCCCACATCTTGCCCCCATTGTGACTTTTATGGAGCAGCTCTTAGAATAATTTTTTCAAACATGGCATTGTACATGTATTACATATCCATTTTGATACTCACACACTTATACATGTAACGTTTTATCTCACACCCGTCTTTAGATAGCGAATGCTATCTGAAATGTCCGACCCTCATAGGATTTATCCTGTTGCTTGATGTATTACGTACTGTATTACGTAATGCTCTACCTTCATCGACGTATGGCATTAAATAAGTAGTACACAGTATTGATGAGTTTTTAATAAGAGTCACGTCTTTGTGTTTTCCAGACTTGCGGCGCAGGCCTCGATGGCAGACGAGGAAGACGCCTTGGAGGCGGCCCGGCGGGAGAGGAGGGAACGGCGCAGGCGCGAGAGAGAGCTGGAGGAGAAGGGAGGATCACGGGAGCTGGAGGTCGCCCCGAGAAGTACCCGCAGATCTCGCGATATTTTGAGCTCCAAGGATTCGAGCCTGGACACCGAGTCGTCGTCGTCTTCGCCGCGAAAGTCACGTGATTCGCCCGGACCGGGAGAAAATGGGGAAACCGATTACCTTTCGCGCAGGCGCAGATCGCGGGAATTGCTGGAGGAGAGTTCCTCTCGAGAGGTCACGAGGAGGTCACGTGATACAGACGATTACAGTTCTTCATCCTCGCGTCGCAGAAGGTCAACCGACGAGGAGGCGCCCACCGGTCGCCGCAGGTCACGTGATCTAGGGTCGAAAGATTCCGAAGAACCCTCCTCCTACCGCCGAAGATCTCGCGAGATTTTGGATTCCCAAGACGCCGATGACGCGCCGTCCTACCGCAGGCGGTCACGTGAGCTTCTGGACAATGACGAGGAACCCTCGAACAACCGCAGATCTCGCGAGATTTCCAACGACGACGAGCCCTCTTACCGCAGGAGATCTCGCGACGACGACAAAAAGGCACCAGAAGAATCGACGTTCCGTCGGCGCCGCTCCAGAGAGCTTCTTGACACCAAAGAAAAAGAAGAGCCGGCTCCGGTTGAAGAAGAGACCCCCCGCAGAGGTAGAAAGTTCCCCGGAAGAGAGGACCGCAAACCAGAGGTCAAACCAGAACCCGAACCGGAGCCTGAACCGGAACCAGAGCCCGAACCGGAACCGGAAGTGGAACCCGAACCTGAGCCCGAACCGGAACCGGAACCACCTGCTATGGAAGAAGAGGAAGAGGAAGAAGAAGAGGAGGATCACGGGAAGGTAAATGGAGTGCTGGATCATCCGACGGAGAACGGCGTGGACGGCCGGCATGAGGGAGAGGGGGAAGAAGCAGAGGAGGAAGAAGAAGTAGTCCGGAAGGAGAAACCGCAGTGGGCATCCATGCAGTTGAAGAAAACCAAGTACGTAATATCTTCCTTATATGGCTGTTACTACCATATTTGGTCATTGATAAAAAATATGTACATGTCTCTCTCTCGCTCAGACTATATGTTACATCTTTTCCTTATATGGCTGTTTGTACCATATTTGGTCATGGACGAAAACTGCAGAAGCGTCTTTGATTGGTATATGTCTCTCCCTTTCGCAGACTACACGTTACATATCTTCCTTATGTGGCTGTTGAGCTACATATTAGCTTTGGATGGTGCGTAGTGAAGTGGCCGGTATATGTCTTTCTTTTGCTCAAACTATGCCGTACCTGTCGCAATGTTCTTCTTACTATGCTATTTATCTTTCTTTCTTTGTTGTTTGACGTTTGTTTCTTTCATTATGTGTATTTTCCCTACATGTTTATTGCTCTCTTGTGTCTCCTGTCTATTCCCTTGCTGACTGTTTGGATGATCAGGTATTCCTTGAACCCAAATTGGGAAAGAGAAACATGAAGACATTTCGTCCTAGGTAAGGTAGGTTTACGTTTACTTGAAATCATATATTTGCAAAACAACCATCCTAGTGGTATATTTCTTTTACAAAACATTTTTATCAATGTAAACAATATAGGGAACACTAGACCTCATGGGAAGATTCTGGCAATGTTCAATTATATTCGTACGGATGGATATTTTTCTTGCATTCCATCTTCCACGTCAAACGCCATTTTCGTCTCCATTGCTGTTACAAATCTTAGAACCAGGAACTGCATACAGTTAGGCCGCAAAAACCGGTGTGTTTGCCAGACCATCGTCCTATTTCTGTCCATTCTTTTGGTGTCCCTTGCTGTTACACAAAATGGTAGGAAGAAGTTAGGGATTGCATACATGTAGAGTTGGGCCGGAAAAAACAGTGTTCCCCAAGTCTTTTACATCGTCCTGTTTCTGTCCATTCTACAACCGTTTCGTGTACATAATTGTCCTCCTGCCCTCCTAACCTTTCTGTAAACAGTCCTGAATGTGTCCAACACGTATTTGGACCAAACGCGGCTGCACGCCTCCTGTTGATGTCTGCGGCGATTCCTCTGACGCATTTCGCACCTCGGGGTTGCGGGTTCGTTTCCCAAACGTGCGGAGACCTGCTGTTGTGTACACAGCCTGGTGGGGCGATGTTCTGGTTTGGTCATGGGACTAGGTAGGTAGGTAGGTAGGTAGATGGTGTGCATCTGGCAGGGTTTTTTTTTTTTTTTTCAAGAAAAATTTAGCACTGAGGGAGCAGATCACTTGCATGGCTATGGAGCAACGGGACCGAAGAATTTTGAAATTTTTGAAATGGTAGAATTCATTGTTATAACTTCTGTTATATTTACTCTTGAAAAAGATCATTTTGAGAAATATTTAATGCTTTGTATGTAGCCACTGGGTTTAATCTGAAAATTGATAGGAGGGAGATGGCTGGTTACATGAGGGAGCATCGCCCTTATTCCCCTGTTTAGAAAAGCCCCTGCATCTGGTGATCATACCGTGGACACCGCGGGAGGACCGGCTATTGAAACAAGCAAATTGGCCAGCTTAAGGCAAGCGTGGCTACTGTCAGCCTTAAGTGCACCCCTGGGGGGTCTTCCTTTCGGCAAGGGCTGAAGATGTCAAGGCTTGTCTTAAAGATTTGATCGAAGATATCTTCCTTTTTGGTAACTGTCAATTGAAACATTTCTTCCATGTTCTTATAATTACGTTATACATTCCCCCAGATGGCACCACTGAACATAAAGTAAAAAAAAAACACCTCGCAAAACTTTCTAACTTTTTGGGGGGGAGGGGGTATCGTTTCAGGCCATTGTCATTGCCACTTCATACGAATCAAACGGACACTCCCCCGGCCCCACTTCAGTCTAACACTCTTGGTATTTCACCATTTGGAAGGTAAACTTCCTCCGTACCCTGACTCGAGTACCGCAGTTCTGAAAGATATGCCTAAATTGGGGTAACTCCAGTCAACTTGTTTACTCTGGGGCGAACCTTTCCCCCTCTACACCCGGCCCCCGCCCACCACCACAACTGACACGTTTCGTTCGGCCGCACAAAAGAGACGTTGTTGAAATTCTCTCCGAGGCAAGATATACAAACCCCCGCATTCTTGGTCCACTTCTTGAAAGGGTTTCGCGCCCTATTTTAAGACGCCGAGAGAAGAAATTGTGCAGAGCGAGACTTGACTTGTTGACCAACCCTGAGACCTCCCGGCAAAAACGACGACCGCAAATATCAAATGACGAGAACAAGACAAGGATGCCATTTTTCTGTACGGCTCCAAGTGAAGATGTAAACGGGAAAAAGGACAGGTGGATTCGATACGGAGTTTTAACCAAGACGAGAGAGACAAGACGTTGACTGTCTTTTGGTCTGGGAACGGTGTTCGTAAACTGATAGACAAATCCATCAGGAAACAAAAAAAAAATCAACAACTGGTAACCGGTTAACGTTAGCGGCATGGTGTGTTGTTCTCATCCTAAATATTGCTGGGGAAAACACGACATATCTAGTACATATAACTGAGATCTACTTCTTGTACCAGAATTGCCCTATTTTTGACCAAACATCGCAACAAAATTGAGCTGTAAAAGGACTTATAGTTTTCAATCAGTTGTTATGCAAGGCTAATGGCACAGTGACCTGTACAATGGAGACCCCCCCCCCCTCCAAGACACATACCGACACCTGCGAGAGGGATCCTTTTTCAGAACCGTCAAGTGACGTTTCCATCAAAAACGAACTTTCCCTAGTTTTGAAGTAAAACTAGACATACAAAGTGATAAAAGCTCCCTTCAGTGTCTAACGAGTTACAAAACAGAAAAGAGACCAACACAAATACCGACACCTGCCAGAGAAAGTTGGCGACGTTGCTTCGTGTGTTTTTTTTCAGAGAAGCCAAGAAACGAACTTTCCCCAGGTTTGACGTAAAACTAGACACAAGATGATAAAAGCTCCCTTCAGTGAGGCCACAATCTCACAACTCTCAGAATGTTTATGCAGAGCGAAGGTCACGTGGCATAACATCTTTGCTGGACGTGTCGAGAGAGAGAAGACAGAGCTCGTTTTCATACTTTTGTGGACCTTTAATCTCAAACAAGAGTCAAGATAGGCCACGGTTATCATTGCTTGTTTTTCATTCTGTCGGCTGAACCTCGCTTTTGACTTTTACAAGCTAGCAAAAGTCAGCGAAGGTGTGTAATACAGTTGTTTCGCATGCATCAGTGCACTTTCATACCTTTTGTATTCCTCGTCCTTTCTTCATCAATTAAAGCGCTGTCAAATGGTCCATGAAACAATTAGAGTCCAAAGGGATGGTAACCTTCGCCAAGAAGATTATGTTTTCAGAGTCGTTCGTGTGTGTGTGTGTGTGTGTGTGTGTGTGTGTGTGTGTGTGTGTGTGTGTGTGTCTGTGGACACGATAACTTGAGAAGGCTTAAATGGATTGTCTTGATACTTGGTATGTGGGTAGGTCTTGATGAGACCTGGAAATGATTAAAGTTTGGACCCCCTAGCGGCTTGTTATGGTACTGCGAGATCTACTAACTGTATGCCCTACAGTGGACAGGTAGCGGTAACCGACAGGTTTTGTATCAGTGACAGCTCATGGAACAGGTGTGTTCTATACCTGTATTTACTCCACTTCAAAACCTGGGTGAAAAGACAGGGCGATACCATTCAAAACATTCTAAGGGGACGTCAGGACGACATAATGAAATGGTGGCTTCAGAATGGGTAATAGTACATTCTTAAGTCACGAAATATGGTGTAATAAAATACAGAACATAGTGTTTTCCATTGAGAATGACCTTTGAATAAAGAAAAGGGAAGGAATAAGAGTGGGGTTGAAAGATTTTTCGTACCCCCTTCCCCCCCCCCCCCGAACCGCCTTTGAAACGTGTTGGATAAGATAGCTCAAACTTCTCAGTGACTTCTAACCTTTAATCAAGTCGTTAACAGTTATGTTTTTCGCGCCACAGGAAGTCCGTATCGGAGGAGATGAATGAAGAGGAGACTTCACAGCCGAAGACCGCCCCTTCCTGGTCAACCAACCAGCTCAAGTCGGTCAGGTACGCACTAGTCAGGTATCCAGAACCGTGCTTTATCCAGAACCATGCTCAGGCGCCGTTCTGGATGATCCACGCAGATCCAGAACCGTGCTTTATCCAGAACCATCATCAGGCACGGTTCTGGATAATCCACCCGTCTCCAGAACCATGCTTCATCCAGAACCATGCTCAGGCACCGTTCTGGATGATCCACGTGTATATTAGCCAGCTGAGTGTCATCCTTTTGAGCGGACAAAAGCTAAATACTCTGACACCCAGGCTACGCGTATCCAGAAAAGGGCTTTTATCCAGGACCATGCCTATCTCAGGCTCGGTTCTGGATAATTTTCTACGCGTATTCGGATATATCCCGAACCGTGCATGGGGCAAATCTGCGTTGTTGGATACGTAGATTGGAGACTATCAAAAACCATGCCTGATCCTAACGCTAACCCATTCGTGGTACGTGCTATTCATTGTACAAACAAGCGTTTTGAATGGAGTAAGTCTACACTAGTAGTTTTGTATGGAACTAACTATGAATGGGGCTCATTATGTGGCTCTGAAAATCGGCTGTCAAGATGTCTGTTGGATAATGGGTTGTGTATTCTGTGCTGGCGCGAGTTATGGGTTCTTTGGCCCCTACACGTAAAACACGTAACCAACGCCACCCATGGACATAAAAGTACAGTCTTGTTAAATATCTTCATATCGATGTTTTTTACAGCAATGAACTTATAGCTTTAAGACTTTCGTAGTTATATCAGTATACTAGTAATACTTATCACTGAAGTCGATTGGAGGGATTTTGACTTTCAGCTTAGCAGGCCTATGTCTGAAACTATACATACTCTAGGCCGATGTTTGAAACTATGTATATACTTTAGGTCCATGTCTGAAAGTATGCACTCTGCCCTTGTTTTAAGAGCTAGATTTGTAACATAACTGAACCCAGCCAATGTCCTTCTGGACACTGTATTTAACTTTGGCCTACTTTTTACCCAGCATGGAGAGTAGATGGATCAATTTTAAGTTTGCCCCCTGGCGTGTTTACTTGCAAATGGCCGTGAAGTTGTCGAAAACTCGCCCATAAAGACTCGCTATAAAGGCCTACTGACCCCCAACGCTGTCTGAAACCTTAGACTGTTTACGCAGTTTCCCGCCAAAGTACAGACTAAGTACAAAGTACAAAGCTAGCCTCCACCAGGCCTTTCTACGGGAATACGGATCTTAGAATTCGGCAAAAAAGAGAGTGAAACTGGCCAAGGGAGTCCGGCCGCGGGGAGGTAGTTCTTTCCCCCCGAAGCGGCCAGTCAAACCTACAAGGCGGCCAAACTCCCCTGGCAAATATTCTCCTATACAATGTATATAGCCAGCGTAGTTAGTCTGGAAGAGACTAAGGCTACGCCCTCAGACTATCACGTTCTTTGAATTTCTCTTTAATTTGGTCATGTTCCAAGTGACTGTATTTGGTCAGAATTTGTGCTGTTATTGTTGAGAACCCAAAACACCGTCAGGCCTTGGCAAACTGGGGGAATCGGTGACCTCTGAAGGTCACGGTCATCAAGATGGCGGCGGGTTAATATGACGTGATTGGTTCGATTGGAATCAACCATTGTTCTTGCAGGGGAGTAACAGAGGCAGAATGATTGGTTTCCTTTGCAAGCAATAGTCTCCGGTAGAAGCTTTTTCTGGGGATATTCTGTTGAATACTGTTATATAGATGGTATAAAACTAATGTGAATCTATCATTCTCATTTTAAATGATGAGGTCCGTTTTTATGATATCACCCCTTTATTGTCGTAACATTGGTATCGTCCGTTATTCCGTCGTCTGCACCTGCTTTCCATCATCTCCACGCGCCATTTTGACCTTTCCATGTTTCCGTGTTTTGAGAGTGGTTCTATATTTTGAGCTTCCATTAAATGTAAACATCTAAATCCCAGCGGTTGTTCCACTGAAAATGTGTTCAACTTTCGTCTGGACTTTTCTTATGGGAAAACATAGACAGTTATCCCGTCCCAGTTTATAAAATACTCTCCAGGGTTTGATTAGCGAGGCTCTTTGGAAGATACACAAACTGGTTCAAGTGTTTGGGAACTCGAAGATACAGCGTGTTGCTACAATCACAGGGTGGCCTTGATGAAAACCAGAGTATGAGAGTATTTCCTGGGCAGACAAAACAGTTACTGACTCATTCCTAGTTAACTGATTCTTTCGGTCTGATTTCTGTTCGTTTTTTAGCTATTTTGTTTTCCACTTGTCTCTTCAGTATGATTGTATCCCTCCCAAGAAGCATAAATCCGCAACTATACAATGCTTTCGGTCTGTGATACACAATCGCTCGCTGTTAGGGGCGGATTGACCCCCCCCCCCCAGGAGCTGTTTACGGGCTGCTAGAAGCGTGATGTAGCTAAGCTAACAATGTTCTCATTGAAACTATAAGAAGAATAAGCAAAAGCGTCTAAACAGAACGCTTATCTGATGTAGAAATATTCAAGTGGAGAAAATAACTTTTGGTATAAGTGGTACGCATGGAAGCTTTAGAAGGATTGTTATGAAACTTGGTAGGTGGGTAGGTCTTCATGAGACCTATAAATGATGAGATTTTGGGCCCCTGGCGGCTTTCTTAGGTAATGCAGCAGAACTTCCGGTTTTGATATCTCATGATCTAGACATGCTAGTTTGAGATAGAACCATGCAAGTGAAGAAATGTTTTGTAAAAGTGGTACACATGGAAGTAGGGCACGACCTCTTTGTACAAACAACACCTACGTGCCTACAACAGTCTGAGCAACTCGGTAAAACTCGGGCGGGCGGATTTCACGTCCCCGAACGACTCTTTTATTTACGTCAGAGCCAGAGAACCGCCCCGAAGGCAGGACTTTCCCGCCACACATGTGAACCATCAGTCCTGTCCTGTAGGGTTAAAACCACTCAAGTCGACTTCCTGTTAGCTCTACGACTTAATCCAACGATTTACAAACTCGGGGTCCGAGTTTGAGTCGCTAAGGTATCTTTTCAACCAGTTAATGTCAACGCTCGTATGTAACATCGGGCTGATCTATTGGACCAGGTGAAGGCTCGGGGCGAAATGCTGTTCAAGATAGATTTCAGACCCTCGAAAACTGTAGCAAAGAACAAACTGCTTCGCCCTGAGTGTAGTACCACTGACGGTCGTCAGGGAGCGGTTCACACTACTGTGAAAGCTGCCCATTTTTCAACATTGACGAAAGATGTTGTTTAAGTCTTTTGTATATTTTTCTTTGCAGAAAAACTATTATAGACACGGAGCAGCCGGCGTCAGAAGGGGGCAAACCTGCGTGGGCCCAGGTCAAGCTGAGAGAGGTTAAGGAAAGGTAAGAAGGGCACCTAGCGGCCCTAATCATAACTGCATGTTAGGATCCTCATGTTACAAGTGACTCAACATCTCCATGTTTTATCCATTAGTAGGGTTTGGCTTGTCTATGGGTGTCGTTTACCTGAGTGCCTAACATTCATGAACTTGTCTCATACATGTATCATCTTTTTCTATCACCCAGCCGCCCCGACCCTATCACAGAGATTAACCAGAAACGGGAGGACAAGAGTAGCGGGTATGAGGCTGAACGCGTGGCAGAAGTGAGTAAACTAGGACCAGTCTTGCTCCATATTAGACGTCTTGTTTTTGTTTTTTTTATTATAATTTATGTGCGGAAGGAAATAAAACATAATACACACCATCTTTTCTTGAAACATACCAATGACCGCCAGTGACCCCAAATGGATTGCGCGTTCTGTTCGAATGACCGCTGGTGACCCAAATAGAATACGCGTTCGGTTCGAATGACCGCCGATGACCCCAAATGGAATACGCGTTCTGTTCGAATGACCGTAGGTGACCCCAAATGGAATGCGCTTCTACAAATACATGTATTACAAGTGCATACAAATTAACCTACGAAAGATCATGAGTAAATGTATATGATTACATTTGTAGATCAATGCGTTAATTAAATTTGACATATCACTTATACTGCTAGTTCTAAGGTCTATAATAATCTTTTTTTCCTTTGCGCGATAGGAAATCCGTAAGAGGCGCGAGGAAGAGGAGGCAGAGCGCATGCAGGATTTCCGCAAACAGCGGGAGAAGGAGGAGCAGGAACTACAGGAGCTGAAGGAGAGAAGGGTAGGCCCTTTCAGACTGCAGTTTCTATATATTTCACCAGGTGGCGCCTTATCATAGGCGTTCACTATTACTATAACATCTTTGCCTGAGTGTTATCGGATTTGTTAAGGGCTCCGTGTACTCGTTTTTTGGGGTCCATTGAGTACAAGGATCCCCGTAACAAATTGGATACCACCGATTCTATTGAGATTTGTGATGCTCTGCGATCAGTAATTTGACAATCAAAGTTTGTTTTTTCCCTATCACACAGGATAAGAGGAGGAAGGAAAGGGAGGAACGCGAAGCGAAGATGGCTGAAGAGAGAGCAAAGAAAGCAGCTATAGAAGAGGTACGTATTTCTATTTATTTATTTCTAAATCTTATCAGAATGCTCCCAACTTCCACAAACTTGGTTAGTGGCCGGGGAAAGTTCTGAATGAGGTATTTCCAAAGAACTATCGTAGAGTGGAAGCTCGTTACCACCAAGCACAGTTGGGGCATCGTCGCTAGAATAAGGTTCAAACAACTAAATTGAATGTACAAAGATTGTGTGTCGTTCGGTGTGATATTGGTAGCTGCCGCCGCCGCGCCGCGTGCCTGCGAAGCTGGTGTGTTACGCCGAAGGGCAGTTATACCGGCTATACAGATACAGATACAGAATGTGTGACTGGGGCTTCATGATGCTAATGCTGTTCCTGTGAACTCCGCTAGGAGGAGCGCAAGAAACGCCAGGAGGAGGGTGAGCGCCGTCGCCAGGCCGAGGCGGAGCGCCGCAAGCAGAGACTGAACGAGAGCGAGACGCCAGCATGGATCAATATGAAACTTAAGGTACATAAGTTCTACATCGCAAGTCTACGAAAGCCACGCTTTCCGCACTGGTGTTCCAGTGCTGATTCAATGGACAAAACGGCGTCAGCACTGGACGTCCAGTGCCGACGAGAGCCGAGCACTGGTGTTCAGTGCTGAACGGCCTTTTCCCAGTGCTGAAGCGCCCTCACCACTGGTGTTCCAGTGCCAGAATCCTGTCTTCAATTGTCATTGACGGCAATTCCCGTGCGGAAGGAACGCAATCGCCATTGGATGAGCCGCATTGGATGAGGATCCAATCTCGATTGGAGGCAATCCTGATTCAATCGCGATTGGATCCCAGATGTGGATTGTATGTGAACGGGGTGTTATATGAAGTACATGTATGTTGTAAGTTTCAGACTGTAATTTCTAACACAAGAAATCGGAAATTGGACTTACCCAAATTCAACTGTATACCAGAAGAAGTTCATGTCTCTGTTGAGTGAGTTTCTTCGCCTGGGGCTTTTTGAATGAATGAATGAACGAACGAACAAATGAATGAATGAATGAACGAACGAATGAACGATTGAATGAACGAACGAATGAATGAACGAACGAATAAGCGAACGAATAAACGAATGAATGAACGAACGAATGAACGGACGAACGAATAAACGAATGAATGAACGAACGAATGAACGATTGAATAAATGAATGAATGAATGAACGAACGAACGAATGAATGAATGAATGAATGAATGAATGAATGAACGAATGAATGAATGATGTATTCCTACGTTCTTGGTTCCAGACGGTGGAGGGCGGCATCGACAAGAAGGACCCTCGGCAGAAGGAGCTCCGAGAAGCCGAGAAACGCCGAGTGTTGGCCGAGCGCAGGATCAAACTGGAACTGGACGTAAGGAACCATCGGAAGCAACAGCAAAAATTACTTTTAGTCGTTTTTTTTGCAGAAAAGAGATAGCTGGATTAATGGCGACAAGGAGTAACATTTTACGAAAATAAGTGTTGTATTTCCATACAATTAAAATTAGCTTACTTCGCAAATCAGTTAGACAATATACGTCCGTTCAAATTTTGTAGAATCGTTGACCAATTCCACTCAGCAGTAAGGCTAAATACCAATCATGTTTGGAAGAAAACAAATGTAGACACGCCAGAGAATTTTTTCGCCGATCCGTGTAGAATGACTCCTTTCAAGCACGTTTTATTTGCTGTTCGAATATCGCGTACTACCAACCAACCCCCTACCCTGCGGCCTCAAGAAGGCTATGGGACTACCTTTACCTTGGACTACTTTTTCTTAACTTGCCACGTACCTTTCTGTAGGATCTGGACGCGGAGGAACTGCGTGAAAAGGCGGCGGAGTTACACGATCACCTGACCGATGTCGTCACCGCCAAGTTCGACCTGGACAGCAAGATACAGAGGCAGGAGTATGACGTAAGCATGACGTGCACACACATTACTGTGACGTATTTCTAAGCAGTACTTTTCACAGTTGTGCAGAAAGTGGTGCACAACACTATTTATGTTCAGTCATGTTTTATCGTGCTCCTTTTTCTTTTCAGATAAATGAACTTAGTCAGCGACTGAGGGAAATGATGGGGAAAGGGTGAGTTAGAATTTCGAACTGAACCTTTTATTTCTGTTTCAATTGAAAACCTTCAATACACTTGAGAGTAGAAACATATTAACGTCACCCGTATTGATTATATTAAGTAGAATATGTAGTGAAAGAGTCAAACAGGAATCCTATATATACAAATGGCAATAGTTTGTTGTATCTTTATCTTTGCAGGAACAAACAAGCAATAAGTGTGGAGGGAGTGGATAGAAAGTAAGTTAATATAACGAAGTAATTGATAACTGTGTTTTTCTGTCGATAGATGTAAAGTAGTTACCCATATTACCTAATAGTACATTTTATCATTTTATGTGGATGATTTTTTTTCTTTGAAATTAATTTTTCCTCTATTTCCAACAGGTTTGAGCAATGGAACAAGATGGGGGTAAGTAGGGCATTTAAAAAAACACAACATTATTTTTATCTCCTCATTCAAACAAATAGAACGTACGATAAATGTCTTTAATTCATCATATAAAACATGGCGCTTCTTATTACTCTCGTTCCAAGCGTCTCACGCACGCTTCTCGTTCCCATATGCGTGTTCGATTTGTTACCCAGGATTCCAAGGTGCAGAAGCTGACGGGAAGGAAGGAGATCGTGGTGACCGGAGTGTCAGACAGACGGAAGATGTGGGAACACATCAACGACAGAAAGGAGGAGGACGAAGAACCTCCCAAACTTATCTCACCCAAAAAGGTTAGTCTATAATGATGCGTCGGTGAAGGTTAGACATCCAGGTAATAAGATACGCCAATAAAACTCCACTACCTTTGGTCAGTGTCTCCTCTGGTCTCTTAGTGTCACTGGCGAAAGGTAGTGGATGCTACCTGAAACGTCTGGCCGTTTTCAAAATCATATCCAGTTGCTTGATTAACTGTTTTTGGCGTTAGTCTATGATGGTTGTTGGTAGCCTGGGTGCCATCCGTTTTGTAAGAGGTTCCCTAATACTGCACTTGCTTACCCGCATTTTCGGGTCAGCAAGTGCAAGGAGCCCCGTTACAAAACGGATGGCACCCAGGCTAGGTTGTTAGTTGCATCATGAATTTTTACGTTGATCTCTTTTCACCTTAAAAAAAAAATTTATTATTATTTATTTTCTATGGATTTGAATGTGTGAATATGACGATCATGTGTTTCTAGCGGTTTCCATCAAAGACAGTGTCTGAATATTGAAAGGAAAATTTGAACTCGTAAAAGCTCAAACAATCTGGAATTCATTGACCAATCAGAATATAGAATAACCGCTTTTGTTGTCGTCCATTTTGTTTCCCATGATGCAGAGCGAGATCAGCAGTGACGAACTGGCGAACAGGAAGAATTTGTTCGAGCAAGCTGCGGCCACCTAGACTTTGTTTATCAACTATAATATTTACAATAATTACCTTCGCCAAGAAGGTTATGTTTTCAGGGGCGTTCGTGTATGTGTGTGTGTGTGTGTGTGTGTGTCTGTCAACACGATAACTTGAGAAGGTCTTGATGGATTGTCTTGATACTTGGTAGGTTGGTAGGTCTTGATGAGACCTCAAAATGATTAGATTTTGGGCCACCTGGCGGCTTGCCATGGTACTGCAGCAGAACTTCCGGTTTTGATATCTCATGATCCAGACATGCTAGGGTGACGAAATTTGGATGGTAGATAGCTCTTGTGCTGGGGATAAAGTGACATGAGTTTGAGCCCCCTAGTTGCTTGCTCTAGAACTGCAGGGGGGTTTAATGGACAAATGTTTAAAGGGGGATAACTCAAGAACCGATTGATGGATCATCGTGATTTTTGGTATGTAGGTAGCTTGAGTGACGCTTGACATAATGATATTACAATTATGCAAATAGGGATGTAATTTGCATAATTAATGAGGAAATTCTATTTATCAGCTGCATTCCATAATAGGAAGTTCAAGCTTGTGACATATGTTATTAAGAATGAGAGAAACACAGGCAGATATCGATTATGCAAATGAAGACTTAATTTGCATAATTAATGAGAAAATATTATAATTGCATAGTGGTAACTGCCTGGAATTTTATACTTGGGGTGTTTGAAAGTTAAGTTAAGGTGAACATAATTAAACATAACTTATTCAAATAAGGACCTCATTTGCATAATTTATGAGAAAATGTCATCATGGCATTCTTTGTTAAGATAAGACTGTCTTTTGGTGGAGAATATGATCAACAGATATAATTCATGCAATTGAGGATCCTATTTGCATAATTAGGGGGATTGATATATAATTTCTTAATCATAAAAGCTAACATCATTTGGCGAAGGTATGAGATCGTGGAACTCTAGTTCATTTTGCTTTCCCAATAATATTTTGGTATCATACTATATTGTTAAGATAATCGTAGAGATTTATCAAGAAGAAGCAATGATATTTCCATGATCTGAGTTAGCAAAATATCACAGTAATTATTTACCAATGTTATAAAATTAGCGCTGCACTATAATCGAATTTTCATCATTATGATTATGGTAAATGATTAAGTGATTATGTTGTGCTTATCTATTTCACTAGAATATACGCAGATTTCTGTCTTGTGAAATACAACAATCCTTATTACTACAATTCTAGTATCCTATGCCATTACACTGTTCCTCTTTTGTATTTCAATCTGATCTCTTAGCTCTAATTAGATCTAAATATCTTAGAGCTTTATGGCAACTACTTTTACCATCATGCTCTGGTTAGAACGTTAAGTAATTATGATTATTATAATTGTAGTATGGTTTGGATTTTTTTGATAATGTTTGTTTCCATGAAATACTGGATGAAGTGTGGACCACAGTGGTTTGGGACCAACCACTTTTTCATGGGGGCGTGGCGTTCGAAAGTTCTGGGCACCCCTACGAATGAACTATTCCTATATTAAGTGATCTTGAATGCATGAAAGAACAGAGGTTGGACTTGTGTTAGCGATTACAGTAAGTTTCACTTCTCTGTGAATTTATTTTCTCTGTATCTCACAAACGAGCTAAGCTCACACCATGCTACTGAGATGTATTTAGGGTGACTACTATATGTGTAGTTAAATGTTATAAGTGCAATTTTGTACATCATATCCACAATTTTATAATCATTAGCGAGTCAACTATGCAGCAGACAATGGTGTGGCGTCTTCCGCAAATTTGCCTTGATATGTATCTAAAAATAACCATAGTTTTGGCCATGAAATTATGTACTACGTATTACTAGCTTGTTACGTAACCGAGGGGTGACGTCATTGGCGGGAAACCTCATCACTGGTCACCATAGCAACGCGAGTCAGCCGCAGACGATAGTTAGTGATCACGTGACTGAACTAACGACAATATGTCACTGCTGGCTGGTAGCCATCTTGTGTTTGTATCATATGTTATTTAACCAACCCAAGTTAATGAGTTAAGAATTGGGTACACTGGGGCAATGGATGGGGGGGGGTCATTCCAGTCATAACAGCATATAGCACTTGCAAGCAAACTTTAAAATGTATTGAGAAGCCTGAAATGTTACATAAAACTGGCGCGGACTGGAGTAGCCTGCTTGCCATCCTTATGCTGAGGTCACATTTCCAAACCGGGGCCCGGCCGGGCAGCTTTCGGGAACGAAAAGTTCTATATAAAAAAACACAAAACTTTAAAAGACAATCGTGAGCTATTTGTATTCCCGATAAGAATTGTTGATTTTTCATTCATGTAAACAGCCCGGCCGGGCCCCGGTTTGGAAATGTGACCTCAGCATTAAAGCAGGCGTCGCACTTTCAACAACATTCGGTCGAATTCTTTGATCGCCAGAACTTCGTTAACTAAGCAGTACTCAGTTGTGCTTTAGTCAATTTACGTTGTATAAACTGCGTCAGAGTTGGGTGAAACCAATAACTGTGGGAGGGGTGTTTTTTCACTATACCATTACTTTATAACACTGGACATTGAAAGCCTAAGACAGGTTTAGATTCACCTGCTATAGTTTATAATTTCCATCCACGTTACGGTCAATATGGCTACATTTTCCATGATATTACAATAAACACCATAAATGTATCTGGCGTTGCGTTTTTCTTGTGTTTTTTCTCAAGTATGAATATGGTTTCAAGTGTGCGATTCTTTGACTTTACTTATTTCTTTTAAAAGACAACTTTATTTCAAACTAGGAAGGTAACATTTACAAAGGAAATACATAATGTTTACCTTCGCATATGGTCTAAATCCCTCCTGCTATAAAATTGCTAATCTCTGCAACATAATGTAACCCAACACCAGTTACCATGGTCACAGCCGTCTGGTTCAGGTCATTGACCTTTGGTGATTGGAGAAGAGGAAACAGAGCAAAAACAAGGAGAAGTCGTTAGACATCATCCCTCCATGAAATAGCTTGTTATTTTGTAATCTTTTGGTGTATTTCAATAGAGATATTATGAGTCAAACTTTGTTTTTATCAGCAGAATGATTTGTGGTGGCACTTTGTATTTTATCAAGCTGTCATGTGCAGGCGTTTACTGTCTTGTTACCATGGTTTGTTTACTTTGATGGCCAGCAGGTCATTTGCCTTAGCCTGGGTACCATCCCCAGTAGTATATTCGCAAACTCTATAACTGTTATAGAGTTTGCGAATATACTACTGGGGATGGTACCCAGGCTACACTTGCCTGTACATGTAGGTCAATGACCAGGCAAATGACCTGCAGACCAGACAAACAAGATTTATTTTCCTGCAGACTGTCTGGGGGTAAAAATAGATAGGGCTGCCTCAGGGTCTGACCTGCCAGCTGGAGGTATAAACAAAAACACTCTGTCCCAACTTTTGGGTCAAACAGACCATCCTATTATGAAGTAGGGGTGAAAAAGTGAAAATCCTTTTAAATTAAGCAATAAAAATATGCGACAACCTGCTAATGCACTCCAAAACACAAAGAGACTCAACAACTACCCACATACCAAAAATCATACCAAACCATCCCCCAGATTTTCCAAACATTCAACACAAAAAGTCCAACATTAAACATTTTGTAAATATCAAACGCAAACAGCTAGGGGACCCAAATTTAAACCACTAAACCATGGTAATAACAACTACATGCTACCTTAATATCGCACAAACAGTCCATAACGCGAAAACAACAGAATAAAAAAATTAAACTGCAGTACCAAGGTCAATCACCAGGGGCTCAAAGTCAACCTACACAATCTCCAAGGCCCCATCCATCAATCTGCCAAATATCGTACAGTTCCTTCTCACCGATCTTCAGATATCAGACCAAACATGAAACGGAGTAAAAACAGTACCCCCATTTTCATGGAGGGTAACAACATATTTTTTCTTCGGTGAATATAATTAAACTTTGCTTCAAAAACACGTTTGCTAACATCTGGATTTGGACCACGGCATTGCCAAGTCCGGTGGTCCAAGAAAAATACGGTTCAGTTTAGAAAGAGGAATGTGTTGAGTCACAGCCAAATCTGTGATGTTGCCAAGTGTAAAGTAATATTGAATCAAACTCTGCTGTCGTCGCTGTTTTGGATCCACACCCAGCAGTACGATTCATCATGGTATAACTCTTCAATCTTTACCAAACTCGTTCAGAAAACAAAAAGAAGAAAGAAAACTGTTTGAACGTAATACACTAAAGAACTTTAGATGCCACAAAATGTCTGACACCATTTTTTTCTTTCTCATTTATTGTGTGCGTCTTTCTTCTATTTGTGTATCACAAACATAGTTTGTTGTTGAGTTCAGGGAAAGGAATTTGTGGAATCACAGTCCAGTTTTCGACGTTGCCAATTTGTAAAACAATCAACCTCTGAGTGTGTGCTGTCATTGAGCTATTTAGGCCCGCACCCATACAACATATTATTTTGAAGTCATTTTATCTTACGTAAACTAGTTTTGAAAAGTTTTTCATTCGTTTGAACTTCGAGATACCAAAAAATGACTGGATCTAATTTTCTAATGTACTATGGCTATGAGTTATCTCTATGTAAAGTGCGTTTCTTTTCACACTTAAGTTGAATGTAGCGTACTGTACTGCCTGGCCAATTTGATACGTATATACTGTATTTTTGCCACCCTATGATCTGCTTGGAGATTACTGCACTTCAACTTGTCACTAGCCTAGGCGATGACCTTCCATGACCATCCCCGAACAGACAGCAGTGGAATGTATGCAAATGAGGGGCGCCAATATACTCTTCTCGGTTTTCCAGTGAACCGGCCCGATCCAGCGGGTGTATTTTTGGCGCGGCGGGTATTGACACACTGTGTCCCTCCGCCCTAGCAGACACCCGCATTCCCACATGCCGACACAGTCGTCCGTCCACCAGCCATTGACTAATTTTGGATCCGTCGACCGGGAGGTCTGAGAGTTGGGGAGAGGCGAGCGGGATTGTTTCTGCGTCTTTTTGAAGGGATATTCTGAAGGAACATGGCCAACGCGAACGGGTTGGACGATTCTGCGGTAAGACTACAGCTCCTTTGTACCTTTCTGTGCTCGCAAAAGGCGATGTTTTTTAATTAGAATTTCGGGTGACAGTGAGTGTGTGCCCACAGCTGTCGTGTATATGACGACAGTGCTGTAATACTGGTTACACCCGACCGCCCTTCTAACTATAGATACCGCATAGACACCCCTTTATATGTGATGTCCTTTTCTTGGCGATTTTTTTCGCCCTTTTCCTTTTAGTTTTGTATCAATTAGGTTCAGCTCAGGCTAGGAGTTCCATAGCAAGGTTCACAGTGCCAAATGACTGTATATTTTGCTCGGTAGTGTATCTGAATGCTGTAGCGGAAGAGTCCATTTTATGGGTATCTGATTATCAATTAAAAGACGATAATAGAAAGAATGCGAGACAAGTATAATTTTGTCTGCAAATTGGATCGTAAATTACAAGTTGAATATGATAATGTATTATTTCTATGTATCAAATAAACATCAACTAGTAGATATTTCCAAAAACCGGTCATATCAAGATATTTGACGACATTTTCATTTTAGATATAATTTCAAAAACACAAGAAACTAGAAGTAATAAATACAGAAAAGCCACATAGCATATGAAGAATGGGGAATTTATATCTTTATAACCTCCTTTCTGGAGCGCTGCTCATATTTTTGTCAGCTTGCCGGCTGCAATTTTACTAGAACAGCTGCCGGCCTGTCAAGTTTGGGTTGTACCATTTAACCAAGGGGGTGGAAAATTTCCTTCTTATCGGTCAAAATTCTGTTTCCAGTATTTTCAAAGCTATGTCCCGAAACTATATTCGTATGAAATATGGACAGGGTAAACGTTTATTAGTGAATGAAAATAATATAGACGATTTTTTATTATTTCTTTTAATACGTAACCCCCATGAGTGTGAACGAATGGTATAATCCTCTTGGCAACTTGCGTCAGAATATCAATGTAAAATGGCATGCTAGCACTGAAATATATACAATAGGAATGGTTTAGAGTAGACATCATATCACTGATGTCTGTTGTACATTAATATTTATGCAATTCTTACATTGCCTACCAGATATTGTGTTTCTTTTCCATACATGCATATCAATATATCAGGCTAGATATTCAAATGGCCTGGAACGAGGACTATGATATGAAAAGTAGTATAGGGGGTCTGGCAAGCCTACATTCTAGGTCAATAATGTGGGAAAATGGGTTATCTGTAGTAGTGAGGCCTTGACCTCTGACCTCACGCTAGATGCACCTGTCGCTGCATAAAACAGCGGCACTTGACATTCGAATCGTTGTCTCGCAATACCGGACTGGTTTTCTGTGACAAACTCATGACCTAGACCTACTGCAGTTGTTAGACAGATCGCCATTTTGAAGTTTAAGTACAAGGAAAAATATATTCTGCAAGACAAAAATGAAATGGTTCGAATCGAATGAATATGACATAGCAGTGATAGTTATTTCGTTTAAAATAACGACCTAGCTTCAGAAAAGTATATCAACCCCTGCAGCCGCTAATTGTGATGTTTTCTAGATTTTCTATCATTGTCAACCGGTGTGATTATTATGCAAGTTGTTCAATGTAGCATTCTTAAAGGCTGTATTGTGAATTTCAAAGTTACTGCAACATATACCACCTTTTACCACTTCGCCCCCTCCCCACTTAGATGTAGATGTATAGCGGCTACGTTAAGTTTACATATTCGATCTCAGCTTTTTGACTGTTTGTACAATTTTCTCCTCAAACAAACTTAACTTACTGGACAACAGTGACAAGAAATCACATCTAAGTTAGTAAAGATGAACCTTTATCCAGTTACTAACTAAAATATTATCTTACTGTCACATCTAACTAGGCTTTTTATTCTCTCTCCTCCTATTTTTTTCTGTCTGTGTGTACATATGATGCTCTCTTGAAGAGTGGTGACACCGTGGCCCTGTCCTATCTGTGCAAGTCAGATCCGGAGTATGCAAAGGTTTCATTTTTCGTTCCTTTGTGATCCCGCAAACGTTTTAAGCTTCTTAGCCTGGAACCCAGCCGCTCTGGCTCATGACAGCCATTCCCCGGCTATGTCCTCTACAGCTCAAGCTACTGACAGCTGAATTAACAAGCTGAGTCACTCAATGACACTATCTCTCTTCCCTGCCACTCTTTTGATAAAGTCGCCATGTAGGCTACACCCCTATGTTCCGACAACTCAACAAATTTCAGGCCTTGTATTTTACAGTTAGATGTTTGTATAACGTCTGTAATTGTGGGACATCTGCTACCAGTTTCGACTGCCTTGTTGACCCGTGTACTGATGTGTTGTCAGTCTCCAATAAAGTAAAGTAAAAGTAGATGTTCAGGCAACCCTAAACCTAACCCTTTGTCGGAGCATAGAAACTAGAGCTGTCCCCATTTTCCCTTTAACTGTGTAATACTCCTTGCTTCTCTCTTTGGCCAAATGCTCGTTTTATAGACGCTGCAAAACCTCCCCAAGACCTACTACTGCTTCAATAGTCACAGTAGATTCTGCCAATATAGTTGCAGCGTGTTTAAGAAAAGGCCTAAGCAAGGTTGAAACCTTTGCCATCCATCCCTGCGCTTGCAAACTGAAACCCTGCAAAGTTTGCAAACTGTACATGTACATACGCCTAGTACATGTCACTAACCCTGCCTGGTTATGCGAAAACAAACCCAGCCTTCATAGCATGCCAACAACTGGAGGTTTGGGGGTCTTCAGGGTCTTTGGGAGCTTTTATGTGCTATTTTCTGATTGCATATAGACAACATAGCCGACCTAGAACTAGGCTAATCAGAAAACAGCCGAAGACCACCAAATCCCCAGTTCTATAAGCCTGCTACGGAGGCTAAAACAAACCGTGCCGGGCGTATGTTCCCACCCTTCGCTCACATACCTCCTGACAGATACAGCATACCGACACAGCCGACATTCTGATAGCGGTACTCTCAGTTAACGTCAAATATCTTTCCATTGCGTCACTGAGGATCACAATATCACTGTACTGTCATGTTCGCTGGGGCATACACTCCGGTACACATGTTTCTCTCAGGAATATCATATTCTATACGTGCATTAGCCAAGCCCAGTCGAGGTTGCCTGCACTTGTTCTAAAGTAATTTAAGACGCTGAAATTCTTTGAACTTCTGCAAGGTCATGTAGCTTCTCCTTGGCATATACCACGGAAATAGGTATGGTTAGCTAATATCGTATATAAATAATTCAAAACGGTTTGGAAAATGCCATTTTCAATCTAAATGTGTGAAGTGGAGGTTGCCTGCACTTGTTCTAAAGTAATCTAAGACGTTGAAATTCTTTGAACTGCAAGGTCATGTAGCTTCTCCTTGGCATATACCACTGAAATAGGTACGGTTATCTAACATAATATCGTATATAGATGATTAAAAACGGTTTGAAAACTGCCATTTTCAATCTAAATGTGTAAAGTGGAGGTTGCCTGCACTTGTCCAAAGTAATTTAAGACGTTGAAATTCTTTGAACTGCAAGGTCATGTAGCTTCTCCTTGACATATACCACTGAAATAGGTACGGTTAACTAATATCGTATATAAATGATTCAAAACGGTTTGGAAAATGCCATTTTCAAACTAAATGTGTAAAGTGATCTTTGTTTTTGTTGGAAAAAAGTATGATGATAGCCAGATGGGCAACGTGCCATGGATAAACCCTCTAGTGATCCGGCTTCGGACTTTAAGGTTTAAACAAATCGCCTTTGAGGATCGCGAAGACTCCGAGGCCTGGCTGCATTGCCTTTTCGGGAAGCGAGGAACGAGCCATTGCTTAGTCTGTGTCCCCCCGAGGGACCCGGATGTAAATATAGCCAAAAATTCGGCATCATCCCATTCGAGTGGTTAGAGAGAGGGCATGCGCGTGTTGTGGTCGCCGTATGGCACAAATTAGTCATGTTGACATCAGCTGAACAAAGGTTTAGCTCAATATTTTTAGTTCAAAAACACATCATTTCCTAGAACTATCGCAGACTGGAACTCGCTGTCATCAAGTACAGTAGAGGCATTATTAGATAGCTGTAAACAATGTTAAGAGTTAGACGTACATGTAAGGTGTAACAAGCCGGTCGGTGCAATGTAGCCAGCTGCCGCCGCGCCGCGTGCCTGCGAAGCTGGTGTGTTACGCCGAAGGGCGGTTATACCGGCTATACAGATACAGAATATGCGGACACGTAACTCGTCTGGATTTTGTAGAGGCCGTGCAGAATTTGGCAACAGCAACGATGAAACAGCGCGAAAATATGGCATGTTTTATACGTAGCACCAGTACAAATATCACAATGAGCCAACTAGAAAGACCACGACCACTTCGTAGCTGAAGGGCTTGAGGTCAGCTTAAGTGATTCTTGAGGAATCTCACAACTTGTGACGTATGTTGTCCCTCGAGAAGTTTCTAGCACAAAAAGCTGGCCTCGCCAAGATGTGTCATCCAACCCAACCCAACAAAGAAGCTAGTTCAGCAATGTCTCTAGTCTGGTTACCATCCTGGTTAGTTTACGTCCGCTCCCGCAGTCGCTCCCACAAGTGTGGTAGCGGACGTAAACTAACCGGGATGGTACCCAGGCTACAATGCCTCACAGTACTTGCTGAAATCGTAGTGGTTGTTTGTAAGAGCTGCTGACATCCACAGAGCTGTATTTTTTATGAGTATATTTCATGATCTAACCGTTGTCTGGGACACCCACCAAGAAGCATTCTAATCCTCTTTGCAATCCCGGCTAGCTAGCTGACCTAGCTATTTTTTTATATTTAACACCCCTATATCTATCTTTTTATCTACAATGTATATCTATCTATTCATTTATGTACCTATTTGCCTCTCTACCGGTTTCTCTCTTTCTCCCCCCCTCTCTCTCTCTCTCTAAATATGCATATATATACATGTGTATATCATTAAATAGTGTATCGTAAAGACATAAATAGTAACAGCAAGTTTATAGTTAGTAACAGCATAGTGTCGTCTAAACCCCAGCTATTTTACCCTTCAGCTTTTTACCTGCCAAACGTCTGACGTTACATCTATAACTACCATCAAGCAAACGCTTGCACGTCATATGACGTCGTTGACTATGACTATCAGTATTAAAGGTACGTGACTCACAGGATATGACGTACCCATCTGGTACAGGAAGTGACGTAGTTCCTCTGTTCCTTTTCCCGCAGTACTCGTCCCTGTATGATGCCGCCATTGGTGGACATGAAGACAAGGTGGAAAAGTTCCTGAAGGATGGGTTAAATGTGAACTATCAGGACCCGGTAAGTTTACCTTAAAGATTGTTTAATAATTACATTTTTTTCTGTCTATTTTGACAATTTGTTCCAGAGTTGCCATTAAATTTACGTTCACAATCATAAACTGTTTTAGGTTCACCTTTTCACAATGTTGATTGCATTTAAAAATCTGCGTAACGGTTGCAAGAGTACTCACCATTTACACAATTTACACAAATGTCCTCCAGATTCGCTCCCTGAAGTACGTACATCGATATCAAATGTTCTTAGGTTGCCACAGCCTCCACCAAGCCTTCCTACGGGGAAAAGGATCGAAGAGTTAGCTACTGATAAAAAAAGGAAAAATAATTGGCCATGAGAGTCAGTCCTCGGGAGAGATAATTTTCCCCACCGAAGTGAACTCTACGGTGGCAAATTCTCTTGGCATATTAATTATTCGTAGCCGGCCGGTAGCGGATCATGGGGAGCGGACAAAAGCTAAAAAGGCTGACACTTAGGCTACATTATTCTGCCTATATGGCTAGACCCTCTATTGCTAGTCTGTTAGAGGCTAAGGTTGCACTTTTCACTCACGATCTGGAGCCATCTTACAATGGATATACAATAAGGATCCTACACTCCATAACTAAACTTTGGGAGGATCTTTTATGTCTTAACAGGATGGGGACACGGTACTTCACATGGCGGCCAGCACCAACAACATCCACGTGGTCGAGATCCTGCTGAGGGCCGGGGCAGATGTCAACGCAAAGAACAAAGTAACCCATTTCAACTGTAAATATGCGTGATGCTTTCTTTCACTAGTCCATCAAGTACAAAGCAATGTCCAAAAATGCCTCCACACATGAGATGTTGCTTTAAAACATCTAGTAGATGGGAAAATAATTCTGCTATATCGGCTCATGTACGTCCAGCTTGGAGTTTAGTGTTCTTAAATTATCCGTAGGCGCGTACACAAATTTAAAACGCGGCCTTAGCGAAAACGCAGTGCTTAGTCTTGCTATATACTATATATTTCTAAATATGCATATGTCAGTATTATTCATTGACTTATTTGCACAATTTATATTTACCAGGCAATTCAGATCAGATAGTCGAGGGTAGTCGTTCACTATTTTTCAATTTCTGTTCGCACTAGCCTGGGTGCCAATCCCAATTTGCTACGATGCTCCTTGCACACTCCGGCCCGAAAAATAATCGGTCACCCAGACTAGATTCTCACCGTGGATATGTAAGATATTTATTTTTTATTTAGTGATTTAGATTTTATTGAAATACGGTGTTCTTTTTTGTCCTTCAGGCAGGATGTTCTATTCTGTACGAGGCCGCACAGGGGGGTGACGTGGCCGTTGTGAGGGCCATCCTAGACAAGGGCGCAAACTTCAAGGAGAAAGACAAGGTACATGCAGCATCAGGGTAATGATTTACTCTTGTCACAGGGATGGTATTCGTTAGAGCGATACGTAGAATGCTGCACATTTAGGTCTAAATCTTCAGTTGCTTGCATTCACCACTTACCTTTACATGTAAACTATCCTTAATTCATTTTGTACAGAGAAACTGTTTCTTACGTCGATGAAGGTTAGAGATCCAGGTAATAAGATACACCAAAAACAGTAACTCCAGTCGCTTGAGTAACTTTTTTTAGCGAAAACCGTTGCTCTTCAAACCTACTTAACAACTGCCATGGGTCGTGTGGCGTAGCGGCAGAGTGCTCCAGTTGGAACCAAGAGGTTCCGGGTTCGAGTCCTGACATGCCGCCGATCTTGTGCCATTGGGAAAGGCACTTTACACGACTTTTCTCACTTAACTCAAGTAAAAATGAATATTGTCATGTCCTGTGGCGGCATAGAATAAGTTGATATAACTTGGGTGTGCCATGACCATGTCTAGTTATGAATAATGTTGGAATGGAGAAAAACTGTCACGGGTTGTTGTTCCACAGTACGGCGACACAGTGCTGCACAAGGCTGCTAACTGGGGTCAACATGAGGTCGTCGCGGAACTCTGCCGCGCAGGAGCCCCCATAAACGGAAAGAACATGGTAAATTAGATTTTATTATATTTACTGAAGGAAAACATATTGTTTTTGCTACGTTTCTTCTTCCTCTTCTCCAAACAATGACCTCTGACCTGACTGAACCAGACTGTCTCTCACCATGGTTACTGGTCTTGGGTTACATCATGTTGCAATTTTATAGCAGCAGGGGTTTTATAAATCTCCTGTCTGACCATATATTCTAGTTTCATTTTATGTCCTATTTCTTCCTATGTCTTATTTCCTATAAAACACACAGCGATATATGATACATTATCATGGCACACTGAAATTTACTTCAACACTAAATAGTGCTGAAAACAATGTAAAAATGCTCGTAAGACTTTACTTGGAAATTTTTTAACTAACAATGTTTTTTACATCCTCTTTTCAGAAAGAAAGCACACCCCTCCACGAAGCTTGCTCAGGAGGTCACCTAGAAGCTGTGGAGGTTTTGATAGAGAACAGGGCAGACGTCAACGCACAGATGAAGGTGAGTTTTTGCTCCGTTTCTTCTTCTTCTCCTAATGAATAAGGTCAATGACATGGGCCAGGCGGCTGTCACCATGTTAACTGGTGCTGTAGCAGAAAACCTGTGGTGTTGGATTACATTGTATGTTGCAAGTTGGAGGGACTGGTCACCATATGTATGAATGTGTTTGAATCAACGTTACAGAGCAGTAGTATGTAGGCTAGACGAGTAAATGAAAGTAAATATTATGTATTTGCTTTGCTTTGCAAATATTACCTTTCTAGTGTTCCTTTCTTCATATTGTTCCATCTAGCGTCATTTGAACAGAAGACGTGTTCCATTTTGGGTCACGGTTTGGTCTGACCATTTCTCATGTTTTTCTCAGTCACTCCATAAAGCGTAACACTGGTGTCAGCGGTGGGATTGGGTGTGTTTTATTTGGATATAGAGCGATAGTAAAGTACTTTCAATCATTTTAAAGTTTACTTCAAAAATCATGTTTTTACCTCTACAGTACGGCTACACACCCCTCCACAAGGCTGCCATGGGCGGACATGAACTTGTTGTCGACGCCTTGCTGAAGGGAGGGGCGCAGGTCAACCTCCAAAACGAAGTAGGACTCTTCATAATCATGTCATCTTTCGAATTCGGTCATCACAGCTGTAGGGACATTTTACATATAAATGTGCAAATATCTACGAGTTTTTTTATGATGGAAGTTGACATATTCTATGACAATACGCTGAGCATGAAATCATAGTCAGTTTGTATAAGATTATAATGAAATAGTGTTTTTTTAATATGAAATTCGTGATGACCAGGAACTGCTATGAATATTCAAATTTGTCAGGATAATTTTGTTGTCTTATTTCCATGCACTAAGTAACATTCACACACGATAGCTCGTACTGAAGTTTTAAGCGTCGTTTCGCAATAATGAATGCAAAACATACTAGTAGTCTATTTACAGCCCTAATGCCAACTGTTTGACCATAATGTTGATCTCTCCACAGTACGAACAGACACCTCTGCATATCGCCGCGAAAAAGGGCAAGCGCAAGTCTGTCAGAGTGCTACTCAAGCACGGGGCAGATCCAACCATCAAGAACGAGGTATATACATTTTCGATAACCTTAATCTGATACATCTAACATTTTTGTCATAATAACACCACGACATGTACCGAACAATACACAATTTGGATGCAGTTGACCCAGCAAAGGCTTTTCGTTTACATTATAATGATTAATTATATATTGGGAATCAGTCGGCGGCCATGTTGGAGTACAGCAGCATCCAGTACAATGTACTCCAATATGGCGGAACTGACGTCATCTAATACAATGCACTCCAATATGGCGGAACTACGTATACATAGCACGGGAATCGTTTTACGTTGACAATTTTTTTACTAATGCTATCAGTCTGTTATAACTGTAGTTTATCGCATATGAAACTAAGACTTATTTTGCATAAATGCTGGCACATAATATTTTGTGAAGCCCTTTCTTATGACATTTTTTGTTTGTTCTTCAGCTTTTTCCTTGATGACCCTGGCTTTGCTGAGCAATAAGCAACACCCCAAGCTGATAAAATACCCCATGATTTGCTGCAAAAAAACGAGCTCAACATGTTTTACAAAGGAAGCATTAATATTTGCTAAAAAGAGCCTCCTATTAAAAGCATGTTAGATTCTGTAACATTGTATTGATTTGCTTTTTCGGAGAAAGTTTGTTAGAGACGCTGCATAGTTCAAGAACAAAATGACGTCAGCAAAGTCGTGGACAGCAAGGAAAACGTGTACAAAAAGAGAGATGCATTCTAGACTAACTTTGGCGCTTAAATTGACCCTCTCTCACCACAGGATGGCGAAACTCCCATGGAAAATACACAAGACGAGGAAATCCGAGAGATATTGCTATCAGCTAAAACCTAACAGTGCGTGAGTTTGGCGGCCATTTTCCAAAATGGCGGCTATCAACACTTACTCACTTAGTACTGTATATCTCTGTCCTGACTATGCAAGCGTTGTGACATCTGTTAACGTTGCAGCACGCTATAAGGCACTTTTCTTAATGTGTTTTCAATTTCCTTTGGAAATTCTGGAAGGCAAAACCTTTTCTGTTTGGTTTAATAAGAGCAGATACTTGAAAAGCCAGCATCAGATGTCACAACACATTTCACTCTTATAGTGAAGCTCTTTAGGAAACTTAATATTCACTTTTCTCTCTTTCAGATGTCACCTCTCCTTTACTTCATCAAAATCTTTCCTTCTCTCGGTTTAGAAGCTTAGGATCTCTCTGTTTAGAAGCTTCTCTCGCTTCCTGTCTTCAGTCTATTCCTTACTCTTTATATAGTCTAGCGTGTATCCAGAACCATGCTTTTAATACCGGTTCTGGATAGTCTACGCGTTTCCAGAACCATGTCTGGGGCAGATCTACGTTCTTGGATACGCGGGGACTATCCAGGACCGTGCCTGACCCTAACTCTAACTACATGTAGATAGGCATGGTTCTAAATACGATAACACGTCAGTCTTCGTCGTACCTTATAGTCAGCTAGAGCATCGCTCATGAGTTATGGATCGGAAAAGGGGGGAGGGGGGCACTTACCGGTCTTGACGGATTTGGTGGTTCACAGATTCCTAGGATAACAGTGGCATTTCCTCCTTGATGGTACGATTAAAACACGATCTCCACATCAGCAAAGGGATTCTAAACCTCCTCGATATCAGCCAGCTTGAACCGCTTTCAATTCAGGAAACTTAATGACCTTAATACTAGCGATACCAACGTAACAGGCAAGGGAGTGTTAGGCGGGTGAGAGTTGGCTGATTTGCCTACCAATAATTTGCATATGTCTTCAAGTAATCTGCATATGTATCATATGTAAACAAACACAAACAGCGATCGCTCGTAGTATACCTTCAGCTGTTTTGTAGACATTGTAGCCAAGTCAAAATCTATAGTAGTACATCTTTGAATATTTGGTATGTAATATATGTTACGGCGTACATTTGTATGTATGTATGGTGTGTTACGCCGAGGGGCCATTATACCGGCTATACAGATACAGATACAGATGTATACGACTTACCCTCATATCTGCTATGTCTTTTTCCATCTACAGGAGGGAGACGCCCCGGTAGATATGACCAGATCTCTGGACGACGAAACTATCCAGCTGATGCGTAGTGCTGCCGGGAGACGCTAACAAAAATAGATTGCTTGGCCTGACCTTACAGTTCGGTTATGGGGGGAGGGACTATATAGCTCTTATAAACGTAGTTATGCATCGGTTTAGTTTACAGATATACAATATGTAATCTCAAAGCAGATCTTTGGGTCAATTTTGCAAGGTCTTGAAATCATCAGATTGGCCAAGTAGTATACAATACATTGTACGTCTCATGGCTACAGGTGGCTAATATTATAATGTACTAGCAAACTCCCCTTGCCCCAGAGAATCTGCTTGTAGATTATGCAATACGTTTCTCACAGCGACTGATCTAGAGTAGACCGTCCAGTTATCATTTAATATTGTCTGGTGGAAAGTAATGGATTAGCTTAAGTTTATATTTTCTTAAATTTAACCGAGCAATATATCAGTATGTAAATTGATTTGAACTTTTGTGTCTCTAAAGTATTATCATGGAAAAAAAAACGTCGTTAAATCTTGTAAGTTTGTTTTGAAAATACTGTGGAAAATATTCATGTGTTTGGGTGGCATGTAATGGGGGAGGGGGGCAAATACAGGTGGGGAAATACAGGTGAGATGAGCGCCAAACTAGAAAAAGAATAGAACATAGAACAGAACATAGAACAAAACATAGAACAGAACATAGAATAGAACATAGAACAGAAAATTCACAATATCAAATCCTTAAAGAAAGATCAAGACATGGATCTTAGACTTACCACTCTATAGATGACATTTAAACGTATGAGTATGACGCAACAAAGTCCTCAGCAGACCATAATATTCTTTGTAAACAGACCATAATAGCCTTCGTAAACAGACCATAATATTCTTTGCTACTTCTGGCGTTACGCTAGTGATCCGACGATTCTTGTAACATTAATTCTTTAGATTTTAAAAACACTGCAACGTGGATTTTGCAATGCTAAATGGAAGGGCCACAGTTATGTTGTGAAGTTTGAAGGGTGAAGTTTGTGTGGGGCGCCACCTAGCAAGTGCTAATGGTACGACAGCTAGGCTTTACATTTTGTTTCACAACGTATTGTTTTTGTGCGTATTAGTGTCATTATTATTCTATAAGTGCACATCGACAACTTTCTTAATTCAACACAAAGAAAACTTTTGGGGTAATTCTTTTTAAGTCTCATATTCCTAAGATTAAGAATCTGTGGCATTCTAAAGCTTTGGAAATGGAAAAAGTTATACATGTATTGTGGTTGGTGAAAAGAAAATTTGTGTAGTATCTGCCAAAATGCACTTGTTTCTTTCTGTAGAATTGTGGAAATGATGAAATTAAGTAAAAGATGATTCAGTGTTATTCTATAGTACGTGTGCCCTCATATTAATCAATATATGGCTAAACTTTGTAAATTAAAACGCTTGACGGCCGCAAAGGTTTATCGTAAGGACAAAAGATTTGTATGTTTTCAAATGGCTTGGAATATAAAAACCTTTTTGACACTTATGTGTTGCCTATAGTGTTCTTGAATTAAAAGATCTGCTATGGATTTGAACCCAGAACCTCTGGAAGCATTCTTGCACACACACACACACACACATACACACACACACAAACACACACATGCGCACACACACACACACACACACACACACACACACACATGCACACACACACATACATGATCGTGCGCCGCAACGTTTAACTCACAACCGCCAAATCGGCCTCAACTGGTTAGACCAGTTTTGGAAGAGCCCACTTTGTTGTGGGAAGTGTCAACGCCCTGAGAATAAAGGCTACCTTATCTATTATTAACGCTCCTGCCTTCACAATTGTGATCGACATGAATTATTCTATACATATCAACAGACGGGTCAGAATATTTACACCAAAACAAGGAAGATTGGTGAGTATTTTCACCCTTCGTTGCGATCTACGTTTGCTAGATACGGTGTATGTACTAAAGTTATATCTGTGTAGTATTACGTTTAAACGTATTATCGAAGGTCATAGTTAATCATATGGATCACAGATGTTCTCAAATTGCGATCATTTTCTTCTATCTAGAAATTTACATGTATTTTCTTAAATCCATTGGTATATGATACGTATGATGTACTGTTGTTGGCCATGTGATTCTTGAAAGGAAAAAAATTACAGAAAGGCATACATAGTACCCTATCGCCCTGGGGCCATTGGGAACCTATAGTAATTATAGCAATTATGGGTGTTCACTGTTAGTGGGGGAGGGGGGACGGGACAAGGTCGAAGGACAAATTCTGAAGGACATATTTGTTGCCTAGTCAGGTCACAGGTAGCTGAGTCGGATAGCAAGCCCCTTACTTTACGTTAATAGTAGTTTCAGTTTTATTGCAGTCAACTTGCCTGTACAAATAAATTTGTGCCATGAAATACGTTGACAGTTACATCAAAATGCAGTAAAAACACTGGGCTCTCAGGAACACGATTTAAAACGATACATTATTATATTAAAAACGGACATTGTTGTACATATATAAAAACAGCTAAAAAGCGAACAAATATAAACAGCAACAAATATAAACAGCAAGTACAATGTATATCAGTTCTCATCGCTTAGCTCATGTTGTACAGCTTAATGGCTAGCTCTGGGGAAGAATGACTGTTCATGTCTCTTAGTACGGCTATGTGAAGTCATGACATGTCTAACTCGTCGGAGGTCATAGCCACTATGCAATGGACAGGATATAAAACAGTTCAGTGGGTTATCCTTATCATCTAGGATACTCCGGAAGACACGTAGTGTTGCCTGGTCACGCCTGGACGCCAAGGTAGGTAAGGAGTTCGTAGGGATGCCCATGATTCTGCAGCAGCGCTTTTGTACTCCTTCGAGTATGTGAGTCAGACGAATGGGCAGTCCTCCCCACACAGGACTAGCGTATTCCAAGATCGGGCGGATGAAAGACAGATATATCTGAGTGAGTACGTCCGGGGGAAGTCCAGCTTTCCTGCCGGCAGCAAGATAATAGATTCGGGGTCGGGTCTTGGATAGCATATACTGAACATGAGCGTCCCTCATAGTACCAGTAGTAGTACTAAGTAAACTTAGTACTACTACTGGTACGTATTAGACAGCTAGCAAAAGAATCCGCGACCACATGTAACGTTACATATAGGACACATGGTCATGGTGGCCTTAAGATCTCTCTGATTTAAAGCTAACACTGCAAGGAACTGGCTCAAGGTATGATATCAACTCTATCTCTCAGGGTAGTTTACGTGTACATGTAGATCTATCCTAGTTGCTACCACTACACCAGTTTAGGCCTGTGTGTAGTTTTAGAGGTCTGCTAACATTGTATATCTTACAGATGCAACGTTGTGTACTTACAGATTAGACATCACGTGATGGGGATACGTCAGATGGTGTTCGGACTGCTGCTGACGGGGGCTGCGTCACTCACGTTTATGATGACGTATACACAAAAATCCATAGCAACCAGGCCACAACACAGGTCAGTACGGGTGCCTATTGTTATTGTATTTAAAGGCATCCAATGCAATTTCAGAGAGGAAAAACAAAAGACAAAAAATATTCTGGATGAGAAAATCTGTCTGATACTAACATTTACTGCAATTTCTTACCACATTTTCATCATCATTTCTTACTTGAAGCGTTTGAAATAGCCCCCAAACAAGCTACATTAGAAATTCCCTTTTTTGGTACCACCAATAATTACTATCTAGAACCCTACGATACGAAACAAGCGACGGTTGTCCGTCAGCGAAATCTCATATTTGCCTCACATAGTATTGGTATGCTATCTGATACAATAAGCTTACGATGGAATACATGTATATCACCAACACAGAGAAATGCAGCGGGCGACAGGACTTATTTATGAGGTACCATCGAGCCTGCCGAAAGAAATTCCCGACTTCGTGTTGGACATCATGAGAAATGCTACTAACAAAGGATGGAGGTTCAACCAGACAGCAATAACACGTTTAAGGTATGGTAAGACTCACATTTTTGTTGATTTTCTTCGTATTCCACCGGATAAGACAGCTTTGCTACGTTGATGAAGGTTAGACAGATACATAAGGAAAGTGTTGGATAGATTTGGAAAACTGACAAGTTTCAAGTAGCATCCACTACTTTTCATAGTGACTTAAGAACTTTGCTAGATCCATCAGATATTATAGTAAGGTGGGTCATCAGTGTAGTCAACGACGCCAGTGCATGACATTTTGCTCTAAGAAGTGTATACAGTATCCTCTCTGTCTTTATCACTGAAAGGGCTTGAATACCAAAGTTCATCAGTGACTTAAGAACATGCTATTTAACGTATTTCTGTTCTCACAGGTCTGACTTGGAACGAGAGTGCAACACGTCGACAGGGTTTCTCCTCACACGCACGAACCAGCCCCTCAACTCAACCTTCAAGTACTTCCATGGAGGGAAGAGGAGGCTCATGACACCCGAGCTGTGGGAGAAAATGCCAGAGGTGTGTTTGTTTGTTTGTTTGTTTGTTTGTTTGTTTGTTTGTTTGTTACCTCACCAAGAAGGTATGATTTCAGTTGTATTTTTGTGTCATTTTTTTTCATAGACAGCATAGCAAGTTGTGGATGGATCTTTATTATTATTAATATTATCTAGTGTATACATGAGATTGGGAAAAATTAGATTTTAAGCCGCCTAACGGCTTTCTCTGGTGCTGCAGCATAAATTCTTGTTTTGATATCCCATATTCTGGACAACTTTTTGTATTTTCAAACAGGACGTTCCTTTTGCCCGGAAGCGCCTGAAACGCTGCAGCATTGTGGGTAGTAGCACAATTCTTATCAACAGCAGCTGTGGAGAATTCATAGATTCATCAGACCTTATAGTAAGGTGGGTATGGAGAATTAATAGATTCATCAGTATTTTATAATTAGAATTCATAGATTCATGAGATATGTATTTGTAATTAGCCCTCGGGCATGTTTTTCTACTAAACTTTGTCCTTTATACTACAAGTATATTAAGGTGGTGGGTCATCAGGGTCGTCAGTCCATGATATTTTTGCTCTGGGTAATGTATTCAATACCCTCTGTGCCTTTTCCGCTGCAAGGGCTTGAACTAGAAAGTATGCACAGACCTGCAGCTGGGCGCACTGATCTTTGACCAAAGCTTCTTCGCCTAGAAGAAGAAATTTGTGCTTCTTTTCTGTATCTTCATCTGTCTGTATAGCCTTTCGGCTTAACACTCCAGCTTCTGTATCTGTATAGCCGGTATAACCGCCCTTCGGCGTAACACACCAGCTTCTGTATCTGTATAGCCGGTATAACCGCCCTTCGGCGTAACACACCAGCTTCTGTATCTGTATAGCCGTATAACCGCCCTTCGGCGTAACACATCAGCTTCTGTATCTGTATACCCAGTATAACCGCCCTTCGGCGTAGCACACCAGCTTCTGTATCTGTATAGCCCCGTATAACCGCCCTTCGGCGTAACACTCCAGCTTCTGTATCTGTACAGCCGGTATAACCGCCCTTCGGCGTAACACACCAGCTTCGCAGGCACGCGGCGCGGCGGCAGCCAGCTATATTACACCGAACGACTTCTTTTGGTACTGTAACAGAATTTCTGGTTTTGAAATATCTCGTTCTTGAATGGAAAGGCATCCACATTGCCGCTCTTTATTGTTTTTTTTTCAGGTTCAACTTTGCCCCAATGAAGGAAGCGTTGGCCGGCGACATCGGTAGGAGAACAACACTCATGGTCGCCAACGGGGATTCCATTAGACACAAGTACGTGTATGTTTAAAGGCATCCATTGCAGTTTTATTGGTTGGAAACCCGATTTTTCACTCAATATTATAGTTACTTTTCTACATATTGAGTTGAAACCACACTATCCCAATGTATATTGACCCTCGTGGAGCAAAAATTCTGACGGAAAATGGTTACTTAAGAAGGGCCCATAGCTGATTTTTACGGTACCACTCGGTATAACTCTAAAAGCTACATGATACAGTAACGTTAAGTTATAGATATGTAGAACAGAGGACCATGGGTGTACAATGTAAACCAATGTGTTCTTCTCTACTTCTTCGCAGATTTGGAACCAAGGTTTCAGCCAAACGATTTGTCCATGCAGTGATGTCGTACGGCTCAGACTACAGTCTACTGGTCAACCCTTTCTCGTCCCAAACTCATACTTCGCACTCTTTACTCGTTCAAGATGTAAGTAATTTTTTTTAAAGTATAGTAGCTACTAGTAGAGGCAATAACATTTTTGCACCAATTTTATGGCAGCATATGAAGACGTTAGCATGACTCACCAATAACCCTGACTACAAAGTACACGGTAGGGACAACACTGGTTTGCCATGTTCCTCAATGTCTACCCTTCAGAAACAAATGCAGGTCCTGCATTTGTTTCTGAAGGGTAGACATGCATACACGTACAGTATGGGCTTTTATGAGTTTATGTAGGGGGTCAATTCGCCATTCAAACTGCTGGGAAGTCACAGTGGGCACACCTCCTCCTTGTTGTTGCACTAGTCAAGGAACTGTTGGGTTCAATTATTTAAGAGGAAACAAGTTGTCATTTTCGTATTGAGCGTTTCCCTCCTCTTGTAGAGACTCCGTACCCGTACCAACCACAGCGTGTACCACCTGCACCCCGCCTGGCTCGGGCGGACCAACAAGTTCTGGCAGAGGAGGAGGGTTTTCGGGAAGGACAAGTCGACAGGTACGGACCAAACTTTCAGGGGGAAGTCTGTAGTTTCCATAGTCAATGACTGGAAACATTGTTTTTGCTCAGCTTCTTCTTCTTCTTCTCCTCCAAACAGTGACCTCAATGACCCGGAATTTTGTCTGTTACCATGGTAACTGGTGTTGGGTTCCATCATGTTGCAATTTTATAGCAGGAGGGATTTAGACTCCTGTCTGACCATATACATGAATGTGTCTGAGTAAGGATTAACAGAGCAGACCATATGCGAAGGTAAGCATTATGCATTTGCTTTGCAAATGTTACCTTTCTAGTTTTAAGTGACTATATTTTTTCTCATTTTTTTTCAGGTTTTAAGATCGCCAGCGCGGCGTTGGTCTTCTGTGACGAGGTCCATCTGTTAGGATTCTGGCCTTATTTGGTCGATCTGCAGGGCCGCAAGATCCCGTTCCACTACTACGAGAAGGGCAAGCACGGGTTCTCGCAGAGATGGCACAACATGGACTCGGAGTTCCGCCGGTTGTTTCGTCTGTTTGGCGAGGGGATCATCAACATAGTAGCAGGGAAATGCAAGAAGAGATAGCTGGACACATTAAGTCCGATCCATGTCCATAGTTTACGCACTTTTGTTAGCCTCCACTAGGCCTTTCTACGGGAATACGTATCGTAGAATTCGGCAAAAAGGAGAGTAAAATTGGTCAAGGTTGTTTCTTTACCTCCGAAGGCCAGTCAAACCTACAAGGCGGCCAAAATCCCTTGGCAAATATTCTCCTATATATAGCCAGCGTAGTTAGTCTGGTAGACTACACTTTTGGTATCTTCGTTGTCACACGTATAGACCCCAAGATATCTCCAAGTAGATTCTCGGGGGCAATGACCGCCTATATTATTGGTCGCCTGTCACCACTTAGCCTCTACCAGGCTTCGGGGGGGGGTGGGGTAAGAGTAGAAATCGGCCAAATAGAGAGATAACATGCCAGGGGAGTTTGTCTGCTGGACCAGGCTTCGGGTGCGGCAAAATGTTCTCTCCCAGCAGAAAAACTCCCCTGGCATGTTATCTCTCTGTTAGGAAGATTTCTACTCTTCCCAGCCGCCTCCCGAAGCCTGGTAGAGGCTAGTTACCACTGTCTCCGAATAAATGAATCTGCTTAGAGATTATATAGAACTCACTGTTTAATGATAAATCGTTATATTATAAATCACAGCAAAAGCTGGCACATCAAGAAAGATAGATAGAAATTTATAGATCTTATTCGTGCAATATGTAAACGTAAACACGCTTACATAATAAGCTAAGGAAGAGTTGAGTTGAGGTCAACAAATCTGTTCTTAATTGTGTACATGCGAAATTATGTCAACACTAATCTCCGAGAAGATGACTTGTTTGCTTTTCTTTTGTACGTGTTTTATTTAATTACTTGGTCCACTGGTTCACGGGTCATCGTGCTCTAGTCGGAGCTAGTGTCTTACACGTGGGTTGCCTGGATCTTAGAACCTGTCACACATTCAAGACCTTTCCCTGACCTTGTCCCCGACCACCAGCCAACCAAGGTCGGTTTAAGTTTGGGAGAACTCTTGCCAGAAGCAATCTTGAGTTAAATTTTAGTCAAATTTGACCCCTGAACACGCCACAACCATTTCTGGCCTACTTCCCTACACCAGCCAACCATCGCCGAACGCTCGAATGTTTATAAACATTTTTAAAACCCTTTTTATCTAATTAAGACATGAAAATATTGAAAAATATTGTGCCAGGAATGCCAGCAGGAGAAGGGTTAACATTATTAAAATTAAGTGAAACATTTGGCAACGCCTTACTCCAGACCTACTCCCAACTATGTACATGGTTGGCGAAGGAATATGGAACAGGACAATACTCATTTTCACTTGAGTTATATTAAGTGAGGAAAGTCGTGTAAAGTGCCTTTCCCAAGGGCACAAGGTCGGTGGCATGGTGGCATGTCAGGACTCAAACCCGGGACCTCTTGGTTCCGAGTCGAGCACTCCGCCGTTACGCCACACGACCCCACACAGAATCTCTAGCTGTGGTTTAACCTTGAAACACTTAGTTTGCGACCAAATTTTCCGGTTTGTCGCTGCTCTCATCAGAAAAACATCAAAAGTATTTAGAACACATTGATTGAATTACTGCTGTTTGTGAGGTCGGCTAATGTGCAATTAGAGAAAGTTGAAAGACCAGGAAATTCAATTTGTCTCGTACAATTAACAGCCTAGGAAACCAGTGCAATAGATCGTGTAAAGCATAGACGGTGGGCTCGGTGGACTGGTTACCGTTACTTAATAGCAGAACGTCCGTAGTTCTACCAACGGAAAATCAGTCTTCGCATCTGGCAAAGAAATCTAAGGTAAAATTTGCTCGATACAAGGAAACTTTTACATCTTATGAATGTTTTTTTTCTTCTTACAGTATTGAGACGTTGGTGAATTCGTTGTTCAGTACATGTCATGATCAAGTCAGCATAATATAAATGTTCGACATAACGTTGTTGATGTACATGTACGTATCCGAAAAGCAGTTCACGGCAGACAGGTGACAACGAAACCACGTTTCCGTTTGAGAGCAGAAAAATACATATCAGACTATAAAAACCGTTACCGTAGATGCCTATCTGCGTCTTTTTTGCCACCTCATCACTTTTACAAAATGCGTCAACTACATTCAGCAATCTTTTTGTCGTTTGTGCATCTTCTTAACACAACAAAATGCGTTATAGTTTCGGTATGTATAGCATATCTAGTAAGATATACACGTCATGTGTCCGTAAGTATATTTTGACTTTGACCAGTACAGAGAAACAGACAATGAAGGCGTGTACAGTCACTTTGCTCCTGCTAGCGTTAGGGACAACAACCCTGGTGACCACAGCTCCGTCCGGCTCCACAGTAAGTACCGTACGCGTATATATATATATATATATGTCCAAAGACTCATTCGTATCCACAACCGTGACTATTTGCTTCGTTGCCTGAATATATGGGTTAGGGTGAGTATCAGACACGGTACTGGATTACTCTCCAAGCAGAGGTTTGGGTTTTGGGTTATATTTGGCGTGTTTTTAGGCTTTTTTATCGGGTTTTCTTTTTTCCACTGAAAATTTTTTTCACCCAACCCGTTGGGTACGGTGAAAACAAATGAAAATGAAAATGAGTATTGTATTGTCCCCTGTGTTGGTAGCTTGTTGGTAGCTAATATAAGTTGAAAAACTTGAGTGTACCACGTCTTGTGATTACATGTTGGAATTTTAAAAAATCAGCAATACACGCAAATTTCAGGACTACCTGAGGGCCACGGTTGAAAAAACTGTCTGCAAGGCCGGAGTGGTGTCGGTGTCTGACGTCATCAGGATCGCAGCGGAAGCGGAAGTGACGAAGAGAGAGATGTCGGAGATGAAGGCGAAATTGGGGAAACAGTGCCCGTCAGACGGCGATAGCGAAATTACTATGGGGTTGGGTAAGTTCGATTTTTGTACATTTTTAGTAACAAGACTGGCAATGAAAGCATATATTGCCATTCCTAGAATTTTTGCAAACTGCACACAATACTGTACCATTAGGCTCCTCCCTGAGACGTCGCCAAAAACTAGAAAGGTATTAACATTTGCAAAGCAAATGCAAAGCACCGCGCGCTCTATTTATCCTAGCTCAAGCATATTCGTGACAGGCATCTCCAGCTCTGTCATAAATGCAACCCAACACTATAGGGTGTCTGCTACAACAGTAGTTACCATGGTGACAGAAGTCTGGTCCAGGTCATTGACGTCCAGGTCATTGTAGTAATAGTATACATTGTTCAGGCAATATAATATTATATGTTTTCTTTTGCTTTACTCTTCTTTTATGACCCTGTATTAGCCTTCGGACATAATAGTACAAATACAGAAATATAGATTGTATTACAGTCTTTTCTAGTTGTTGACCACAAATTTGCCCACAACTCACAGAAAACATCGGGCAGTTGCAGAAGCAGACGCTGACCGACATGAAGCGTCTCTTCCAGCTGGTGGCCAGCATACAGGCCACTGGTGGAATCCAACAGCGCAGCGAAACAACAACTACAGCTACTACTACAGCCGCCGCCGCCGCCGAAGAAGGAGCAGTGGTGGCTCCTGTACCTCCGCCGGGGGGATCCGGACTGTGTTTCACTCCGGAACGTAAGGCTGAAAAGACTTGATACAATTCTGTCTTCTTTTTTAAAATGGATTTGCTTAATGTAAGTATTTCTAGGCAACTAACTAAATTTGGGTCACTGGAACAGCAGTACATTTTGGTTAGAACTGCGGGAAACTGTTCTCTCCAGCAGACCAACTCCCTCGGCATGCTATCTCTCTATTTGACCGATTTCTACTCTTTCCAGCCGCCCCCGAAGCCTGATAGAGGCTAGATAAAGTCTACAATAGCAGATCGGCAACGTTAACATTAGTAGCGCAAGTGACTTTAAGTAGTTGTAAACATGAGTTATTAATTTTGCGATATCTACATGTTAAAGTGACCTGCTTCACTGGCTATGGTCATCACTATCGCGGCACTGCCTCCGTGACTGAGTCCGGGAAGGTCTGCCAGCACTGGGACCAGCAGAGTCCTCACGTACATACGAGGTAGGTACTCTCGCGCCATCCCTGTCCCTGTCACAGTAGAACACTATCCCACCGCTGACACCAATACTGGTGTTGCGCTAGAGATGCAACTTACTAGTACTAAGTCAAGTACTTAGAAGGGCGGTTATACCGGCTATACAGATACAGAAGCTGGTATGTTACGCCGAAGGGCGGTTATACTCGCTATACAGATACAGAAGCTGGTGTGTTACACCGAAGGGCGGCTATACCGATACAGATACCCTCGTCATCACTGTCCCTGTTACAGTGGAACACTATCCCACCACTGACACCATTACTAGTTTTGCACTAGAGAGGCAACGAAGAAATTATGACTGTCATTGTTACATGGCACAAAGTTTCAAGCACAGAAGTGTTCAGATCACGTCCCCCATCTTTCTTTAGCTGTTGGGGTTACGTAGGGTTAGTAGGTCAACACATGTGACTGGACAACGGTGCATAAATGGAGTAGATGGGGATGGGGGGGAGTAGTCCAGGCCAGGCGTAGTCGGTGGCAGCCTTAGTTAACCTACTTAAGCCTGAGTTAACACCAACATCTACCCTTAACCCCTTGCAACAGGCTTTCAAATCATGGCCCCATCCCGATATGAAATCGTGGAACTCGTACATCTTTTTCGTGTGATTTGACCTGCAGGACCTCCACTCTGTTCCCGCATGACGACCTGGTGCAGAACTACTGCAGGAACCCTGACTACGAGACCAAACCCTGGTGCTACACCACCGATCCCACCAGGCGCTGGGAGCACTGCGACATCCCCAGGTGTTAGCCAACCACAGGTGGGGACACAATATGTTTTTAATCTTTAAAAACATATTGTTATGTTTACCGAAGGAAAACATATTGTTTTTGCTACGTTTCCTTCCTCTTTTTCTTCTCCAAACACTGACCTCGCCAATTACCTGATTTGTTGACGTCTGTCACCATGGTAACTGGTGTTGGGTTACATAATGTTGCAATCTTATAGTAGGAGGGATTTAGACTTCTGTCTGTATGAATGTGTTGAAGTAAGAATAAACAGAGCAATCGTTTGTTATAGGCTAGACTACTATGGAGGTTAATATTATGTATTTCTGAGAACGGCTATATTTCTATGGTTCCATATCTTGCTACAATAACAGACATATTTCTCTTTCAGAGATTGGTTGGGGAGCCTCAACAACTATCCTAGTGGATGTCAGACCAGGGCTATGTGTTATTATGATCGATGATCGGAAGTCCTCCGCAAGGCATTACATGAATATGTTTTAGTATTTACGATGCAATGTCATGTACGTTTGAGGTGTAAAAGTTTTCATACTTAAAAGTAGATTCGACATTTATTTACGGGTTTCAATGACAAAAAGTGTGTTTGTGGCCACATGGCTTTACCCCACCACTATGTAAAGTTAACATGAGTTGCACGACAATTGTAGAAGTTGGCAACATTATATGAAAAACAAACATGTTGTGAGACCAGTAAACCTTCACAAAGACTAGACTAATCGCATACCTTATGTAACGTTAGTATGAGATGAGAATATGCTTTATAATCATTGGTGGGTGTTGGAGATGGTTTGGAAATTTTAAGAGTTGATTTCTATCTACCTCGGCGGCAGCTATCTCATGACAGTACAAAATCCGTGTAAAACGACACATACGTCGACAATACATGTATATTTTAACACAACATTAACTTCATACACACTCACTCACCCGTCCTATATAATAACGTTATATACACATGTCAGCTATTTGTAAGGAAGGCTTTAGATATAGAAACATTTCCGGGGCGTTCTAGCGTGGCTGGGCACTGTTCCTAGCTTTGTCTGGAACGGACTGTACTTTGTTAACTGTCACGCGATATATAAGATTAACGTTAACGTTATGTCACTTGAATTTTGTGTATCTTTTATTTCCACTAGTTGTAAACATCTCAGGCGTCATTAAATTTGTGTGAGAATTTTTGCAGTCTTTTTTTTTTTTGTTCTTTGCTACATATTACAGTCGATACTTTTTTATGTAAAAGCCAATTTGTTCAACAAAAGGGAGCTAGAAAGGGGACATGTTTTATGGTGGCCCCCAGGAATCTGAATGGTATGACCTAACACGGTACGTCATCGCGTCCCTTCACCATGGCAACAGCCTAATTAATATGCTAATGAGCCATCCAGGAAGTGGGGCCAACATGGCGGCCGTCGCCAGGGTTGTACCTTAGCGACTGTGCAAATATTCGTTCCTGTCTGCTCTGTCGTTTCTCCTTGGCATTTTGAATGGTCACGTACGGTAACATGTAACTTTAGGGTTGCAGCTATGTGGTAGTGGCTGCGAAATAGTTGTAAGTTTGGCAGAAAAATGCGAAAGTAACGTGTGTTTTGCCTTAAGAAATCATTCGATGCCGTCCACTTTACTTTTTCTTGAGTGCCAAGTTTTGATCTGTAAGATTTAAGTGAAAAAATCGTCTCAAAGATGCCGCCCAAAAGTCCAAAAGGTGGGAGAAAGTCTCCGAAGGGAGACAAGAAAGGGAAGAAGGGCAAGAAAGGGAAGAAGAAGGAAGAGGAAAAACCAGAACCGAAGTAAGTGAAGGAATGTCGTCTGTTTGTTGACTGTTCGTGTGTGGGCTAAGGGGGGAGGGGGGCGGAAACACAAGGCACCAAAACACAATACACGTTAAATACATGTACATAGAGAGGCAATTTCACTCTGAACTGAACCAAATGCAAACCAGCACCAAGAGACCACGTCTAGCGAGATATTAGACCTTAAACAGGACAACAACAACAACAAGTATTATAATCTCCAAGCAGATCTTTTGATGGTTGAAAGACAGCATCAAATTGGCAAGACTGTGTCATGTCAAAATTTACCAGGACATACTATGAGTTATTAGTATCCAGTACGTTTGCTTCAAGAAAAGATGCCAGTTCAAAAAGGAAGCCAGATGAAAATACGTCAAGAATAAGCCAAAGCCTAAAGCTCTGAGTGAATATTATGGTTGCTCACCATGGCTATGTAGGTACTGTGGCCACTCTGGCATTCGTAAAATGAAATTCCTTCTATACACAGAAGCATTACCCAACTACCGCAGAAACACAAATAAAGTTGCAATGAAAGGGACATGAATCATGTATTAGAACATAGCTAATAATTCACAATCAAATATTCTTTTCTTAGCTAAATAAATGCTTGACCTATTTCCAATTATGCCAAAAAGGGTCAATTACCCAGTTTTCATACTAATAAACTAGTTGTGGCAATGTTTTATGGCTATAAAATACCTCCATACTTATTGTACATATGAACAATTAAGACAGAAATAAGAAATGCTTGTCCTTTTTTCAATTCATGCTAAAAAAGATTAATATTGTTTCAAAGGTCAATTACCAAGCTATTAAAAAAACTACATTTATCAAGGTTTTATCATTTTTTTATTAAGCACCTTTTTAAGACAGTTTAATGTTCAATAATATAACAATACTACAGTTTTTTATTTATCACTGGTACTATTTAATAAATACATGTTCAAACAGTGATAAAATTTAATATTTCCAGGATCATTAAGAAAGAGATGGCGATCCAGGTCCCTGCTCCAGAGATCGCCGCGCAGCTTGAAGCGCCGACACCCGCCATGTTACATGAGAAGCTGGTGCAGTGGGTGTTCGGGGAGCTTCGGGACCGTCCGGCCGAGTTACGGGATCGGTTACTGTTCCTGGACCTAGGACAGCACGGGCTAGAGGGGCTGCCGGACAGACTCTGGGAACTCACAGACCTGGAGGAGCTACACTTGGAGAAAAACCACCTCAAGGAACTGCCTGACAACATCAAGGTGAGTTTTCTTAGTTAATTTACTTCATTTACTGGACCGGGGGCAGCACGGATTGGAGGGGCTGCCAGACAGACTCTGGGAACTTACAGACCTGGAGGAGCTACATCTGGAGAAAAACATCTCAAGGAACTTCCCGACAACATCAAGGTGAGTTTCCAGCTCCCGCTCAAACTACAGTAATCTAGACAGCTTCCTCTACAGCACTTATCCTCTGTAAGGCCCTTTGTAGCTCATTGACATCTTGCAGGAGCTATATCTGGAGAAAAAACACCTCAAAGAATTGCCTAACAACATCAAGGTGAGTTAATTTACTTATTTTCATTACTGGACCTGGGACAGCATGGATTAGAGGGGCTGCCGGACAGACTGTGGGAACTCTTTTTCTGTTACAGGGCTTGAAAAACCACCTGCATTTGCAGGTAAACGTGGAGCTGTGCAGGTATTTCTAATATTGATGCTAAGGTCTACCTGCTCCTAACCTGCACTAAGTCTAGTAACTCCAGCTATCTAAATGTCTGTGCCTATTCATTTGCTGTACCATGTACATGCTACATGTCATGGTTACTAAAAAACAGTAATACTATGTACATCCAATGTGAAAGGGTTCTGTCAAGAAATACATGTTAAAGGTATAAACTTTATTTTCCTTCTTTTCTCCAGCTTTTCAAGAACCTGACCATCCTGTATCTCCATGGCAACGACCTGGAAACACTTCCCGCGGAGGTCGGAGAGCTGGGTCACCTGGAGAGTCTGGACGTCAGCGACAACCCTGACTTCAAGATTCCTCTACAGGTGGGCAAAAATTCATCTCAAAGTAGGTGTCATACAGTGGCAAGGTAGTACATGTTGTAGTCATTGGCCAGGGCAGTATAGCCTGGGTACCATCCTGGTTAGTTTACGTCCGCTCCTACAGTCGCTACCACCAACCAAATTTCGGTCGATTGACCCCAAGATGAAAACAACAGGTCACGTGATTAAATCGCGCGCTCTCATTGGTGCATGGTCAAAAAAGGTCATCCAATGACGCTGGGGATGGGATCTCATGAATATTAATGTAGGCTCATTACGTGACATCATCACCAGGAGGCCGTTACGGAAGCGATCCCAGACTGGTTGGTGGTAGCGACTGTAGGAGCGGACGTAAACTAACCAGGATGGTACCCAGGCTAAGAGCAGTATCCATTAGCCACAGAACACTGCTTGGCCAATGGATACTGTCTTACCACCGTACCTGGACAATGCATACAGTGCCATGCCACTGTTAGGTCTGCTCATAACTCTGTTTAGTTTTTTATTTCAGAGGGTCTCTTTATTCAGTGACTTACCAACCTGATAAAAATATTCATGGCAGTTTCTAAGGAAGTACGCTTCAGAGAGCCCTTTGTTAAAAATTTGTGTATCTGTATAAATTATTAAGCTCAATTCAGCACAGCATTGAGTGTGCCTTGTGTCAGATAAAACATGACACAAAAGGGACACAAGCACCAATTATTGTCAGTCACGCCAATTTTTGTCCTTCAAAGATGACGGATTAAACCAAATTTTTGTCTGTCATGAGCAGCAAAATTCCGTCAAATGACAGGAAGATGGATGCTGACTAGAAAGCTGCATTCCAAAAATCAACAAAATTATTGTTCCCAATTTTCCTGAGTTAGAGGTATTCCAGACCATCAAGCTTTTACTGGCCAGACCAGTAGAAGGGCTGCTAGAAGTATGATGTAGGCAGGCTGCATGACTTTGGTTGTTTCTCTGTTACAGCACCTGTTACAGCTGCGGCAGCTGAAGATGCTGCGGCTGCACAACCTGCACCTGGGAGAGGTGCCCGAAGACATCCTCAAATGGCTACTCAACCTGGAGGTCCTAGGTAACGTTGCAGTGTTAGAAATACGCAATCTGCAGTCTGCATTTTCTTTGGTTAGGGACGTTCCTTGGATAGGACGTTATGCAGGTCCCGTGTTTGGGGAGAGCCACACTCCACTCATGTTAAAGATCCCATTTCACTTATCGAAAAGAGTAGGGGACCTTCCCGATGTCAGTGGTTCAAACCTTACAGTCTGGTCTTCAGCATCTTGTACTTACAAGTACATGTACAAAACTGGTGTGTTATACATGAAGGCAGTTTACCAGTTATGCAAAACAAACAAACTATAACTATAACATTTTGTTGTTGACACCCAGGTCTGAACGGAAACCAGCTGGTGGACCTCCCAATCTACATCGTCCGTCTGAACAAACTGAAGGAGCTCCACCTCCGCAACAACAACTTCTCCTCCCTCCCCCCTCACGTCTGCTCCCTGGCCGCCCTCACCACGCTCGACCTTGAGGGGAACAAGCTGCACGACCTTCCCAACGAGATCGTACAACTGGTGAACCTTCAGGAGGTGTGTAACAACAAGTATATAGGCATCACTAACTGCCCAGCCCAATGGGTCCTGGACATTTTTTTTCAACTCCCAACAAGATTTTGTAAGCGGTTTTGAACTCGGTTGAGGCAGTTTAGGGAGCTCTGGGCAGCCCAGATGTGACAACAATGTTCCATTCTCAGTCTAATCTGGCTCTTGTATAAGTATAAGATGGCTGATGGTGTCAAATACTTTTTGGGGTGGTACAAAGAACCCATCATTTTCCTGACTTCCTTGACAACGGATTGGATGTAGCAATTCCACCTTTTGGCCTAATTGGTTGGTGTGCTGGTTGTGAGCTGACATACTGCTCAGGTTAGATCCCAAGCTTACTCTTTTCTCTTGTGTTCCAGGTGTATCTGAAGAACAACTTCTTCCACCACCTTCCCGTGCAGCTGTGCGCTCTGGGAAACATCGCAGTTCTCGAGCTACAGGGGAACCACGTCAAGGAGGTCAGTTCAATTCTTAATTTCCATATCAACATTTCAGACATACATTTAATGTTTCCTGCAGCCTGAAATTATTAACTGTACATCCCAGACATACCAGGTACCATTCTGACTATACAGTCTGATTATAGAGCCTGATGGACTGAAAGAGTCTACTTTTTGTTCTGGCTGGGGGATGGAGATGGTGCTTTTATTTCTGACAGAAAGTCCAGTAGCTGATGATCTAAAGACATGCAAATATGGCAAGGTCATGTAGGGGCTGGTCGTCCTGTACCATTTGTGTAAAGAGTTCCACGGCAGCATCCATAAATGCTATACTCAGATATTTTATGTTTGGAAATGCATCTATAGCAGCTATACCTGTGCTGCAGTGCAATGACTGAACCTGTCACCTGTGAACTGAGACATCGGCTGTGAATAAAACACTTGGTTGTTAAAAAAAGAGTCTCTTAACCCTTGTTCCTGTTTCTGTTCAGGTTCCGCCAGACATCTGTCGCCTGGCCAAGCTCCGCGAGGTCAACTTCAGCGGCAACAAGATCGAGAAACTGCCGAAGGAGGTCGGCGCGCTGGTCAACCTGGAGGTGCTGTACGCAAAGAGCAACTTCTTGAAGACACTGCCGAAGGCATTTGGACGTCTTCAGAGGTTGAGGTAGGTAGACCAGGCTCTAGCCAACTTGAAATTTTTTTTTGTCAGCCCAGGTTCATCGTTGGATCTAGGAAGAGGATTTTCAAGCCTTCAAAAACGCAATTTCACACATTTTGAGAGGCAAATCATGGTGTTGAGAGTGGTTGTTGATGGACCTTCGGATGATTTCATATTTTTACCCAAGATTTTTGTTTGTTTGTCCGTTTGAACCCCTAGCCTGATTTTCTCAGTCTGCAAAATTGCAGATTGTTTAATTTCTCTTCTGCAATATTGAAAATGTAGAGGCAAAATGCAGACTGCAGATGGGTATTTCTAACACTAAGTCATTTATTATATGTTCCTGCCACCTCACTAAGGTACGTTGACCTGGCGCAAAACCGATTCGAGGTGATGCCGGTACCCCTGTGCATGCTGGGTAATCTGGCGATCCTTGCGATGGATGACAACAACTTGTACCACGTCCCCAAGGAGGTCGCAAACTTAAGAAAACTCAAGGAGCTGGGGCTGAGCGGGAACGTCTTTGAGGAGTTCCCAGAAGCCATCTGTAACCTCCCAAGTTTGGAGAAGCTGTTCCTTGGTCAGGTGAGAGCTCAGTGGGGGCCTGCATGGGGGGTCCTGACAACGCTGTACGCTGAATTCGGAAACCTCTACTATTAAGCTTTACAATAAATTCCAAGTGGCTACAACGCATTACGTGGAATTAAAACACAAATAACGATCTACGCAAAATGTGCCAATTATGCTCTACGTTGAATTAGAGTGTTCCCTGTACACTCTATGTAGAATCAAAACGGCTGATTACGCTCTATGGAAAAGGGTATGCTGACCCCCCTCAGTGTGAAAACTATTTTTCTGCATGCGCAATTATTGTCTGTTGTGATGTGAAGTTGCTATTATTATTGATTCAGAAAAAGTCACTAACATGTAAAAAAAGAATATATATTCTCCCAGAAAATTTCTATTTGCATGAATTGACAATTGTTCTTGTATTTTCTGCATTTTGAAGTCGAGTGCATTCCGTGGATTGTTGGTAAGACCAGGGGCGTAGTTGAGGAACACAGTGACAGCACATTTAATTTTGGGTGTAAAAACACCAATCTGCAATCATTTCAACACTACAAGTTTAGTGCAAATTTAGTCACTAAATGACTATTTGGCCATTTCTTGAGTAACTGCTTTTTGGCGTATTTAGTGTGTCAAGGTTGTAATTCTGTTTGTAGTAACTAAGATGGTGATCACAACATAGTACAGAGTGGGTTAGATATCTAGAATTACACATTTGTATAGTTCTTCAACCTTTACTTTGAAAAAATTGTATGTCTAACAATAGTCAAGACTGGGTGGCATATAACTGTTGGGTTAGCATTTAGTATAGAAAGGGCATCCAGCCGTAAAAAATCTTGATCCCCAGTTTTGGGGAAAAAAGACATTAAACTGGATAGAGAGAGAGAGAGAGATTACTTTTTTGAACATAGTTATTAAAGTCTTACTCCATGTCTCATTATAGGACCATGGTCAGCAATTGACCGCTGTGCCCAGTGCCATCAGTAAGCTGACCTCGCTACAGGACCTGTGTCTGGAGTACAACGCGCTGACCACACTACCCGCCTCCATCAGTCAGCTGCCCAAACTGTCACGGCTGTCCTGCCACGACAACTACCTACAGAAGCTGCCCGACTCCATCTGTGAACTGAAAGGTCTGTGTTTCTGTATCTGTATAGCCAGTACATGTATATCCACCCTTAAGTGTGTAACACACCAGCTTCGCAGGCATGTGGCATGGCGGCAGCTGGCTACATTACACCGAATGACCTATTACCCCTAATCTTTGCACATTTAATTGCAGAAGTTGTACACTGTAATTGCTGTTACTTGCATGGTGGTTTCATTTCATTTATTTGCTGCAAAAACAATTTAACCATTCAACAATGTGTCATTGACCCAAACTGACCCAGTGCCATTTTATATTGCGCAAAGACTGCCATGCTGTCGAAAGCAATGGCAACTAGAGAAGTAACATTTGCAAAGCAAATGCATAATGTTTACCTTCGGACATGGTCTGCCCTGTTAATTTTTACTCAAGGATCTTCACATACATGTACTACTAGTATATGGTGACAGACCAAGCAGAGCAGATCATGAAGTTTGCAACATTAAGTAACCCAACACTAGTCACCATGGTGACAGGCGTCAACAAATCATGTCATTGGCCAGGTCAGAGGTTAGTGTTTGGAGAAGAAGAAGAGGAAATTGAGTAAAAACAATATGTTTTCCTTCGGTAAACATAATTAACCTGGCCAATTCCATAAGATTTGACGCTAGTTGATCATAAAAAGATGTTTATGCCGGGAGTTAATGACCTTTGGGGTGGTGGACCGCCAGGAACGCAATTTAGTCAGGCTCAGTATCAGTTTATTGGGGGGATGCTCTTTAGCCGCTATTATATAGGGCTAATCTTCCAGGGCTCCTACAATTGTACACCAATTACATATACAGGTACAGAAACAGACATTTACAATCACATTTATGTGTTGTAATTTTGTTTGTTTTTTTCCTTCAGGTCTGCAGTACCTGTACCTGCACAACAACCCCCTGTCCACCCTCCCGTCAGACTTTGACAGTACTACAACAATACAGTTTGAGTTGCTTTAAAACAGTAACAGTTGCATGCTTAATATCATTATGTTGTTTTTCCCTAGGTCTGCAGTACCTGTACCTGCACAACAACCCCCTGTCCACCCTCCCGTCTGACTTTGACTTCCTCACCACGCTGAAGGAGCTGCGCATCGACGCAGACAAGTTCACGTACCCTCCCGCCGACGTCTGTCGCATCGGCTTCCTCGGGATCCGCGAGTTCATGCTCATGGAGAAGAGGAAGATCCTCTGTTCCATCAAGGTTAGGATCCATATCATAATTTTGAGATTCTGAGTGATCTGGATCACTTTTCTGAAATTCTGAGTAATCAAGATCCACGAGTTCATGCTCATGCAGAAGAGGAAGATCCTCTGTTCCATCAAGGTTAGGAGAGGGATCCGGATCATTTTTCTGAGATTCTGAGGTATCCGGATCATTTTTTGACACAGTATTCATGAGAAGGAGTGGGTTGAAATTCTTCACAATCATATATTATTAATTAGATTGGAAAAAAAGTCTTATGTCTTGATGGAGAAAGGTAAGATCAAGACAGGTGTATCTTAAATTATACCAGCTTAGAAAAGAAGAAGAAATAGTCATGCCATCAAGTAAGTACGAGTTGTTATCCACCAAGGATTGAGGTGTTCAAACTTTTTTCCAAGTTAGACTTGCTGCCAGCAAAAAGTACAGTCATATTTCGATTAGTACAGCCTTTTGTTGACATTTGCTGTTTCTGTTCCCAGCTGCAGGCATGGTGGAAAGGCATGATGGTGAGGAAAGGACTGGGTCGTTACGCTGCTCTCAAACCCAAGAAGGGCAAGAAAGGCAAGAAGGGGAAGAAGGGAAAGGGGTCTGCAAAGGGGAAGAAAGGCAAGAAGTGAAGAAACACACATTTGGAGCCACCCTGTGGAATCATACAGATTGCAGTTTGCTATATTACTTACATGTACACCTACATGTACTATCTAGATCTAGCAACAAATTGCAGCTACAGTTTTGAAACTGTAATAGCTTCAGAGAATCCATGAAGGACTGATCACAATATGTAAGGCAAACATATCTAAAATGGTGAACATAATTTTGCCCATCAGTAAGAAAATTAACCAAGTTAAAGTTTCGTGTGACAGCAAAAGTCACGTAAATTGAACAGACACATCTAATAGTACTGTATGTAATGAAGAAGTGTACATAATATAAAGAATTCCATATTTTGACTGACTATTTTTGCACAAATTTGTGAGAATTATACTTCTATTGGAGAAGAATTAGTTGATGTGTATATTTGACACACAAAATGATGGGAGTAAGTTTTCTGAGTAACTCAGAGTTACTTGTATTGTATGATATTATCAATATGTTGGACCACATATCGAGAAAAGACATAATTCTATTCAATCACAAAATTTGTGTAAATATTGTGATCAAAGTTTTTAGACACATTTTAGAAAGACGTGCTTGCATGCCAAATATGTACATATGCCAATGAAAATTTTGCAATAAATCAAGTGCTTAATTGATGCAATACTGATGTAAGATCAACTGATGCTTATTTTAATAACTAATCAAATGAAATTGTTGTTTTATGATGGTTGCACAAATTTATGTCTAAAAACATGTATTGTTTGTTTTGAACAAAGCAATGTAATGTAGAAATTCTATCTACATTGGGAGGCCATTTAGGCTTGGTGCTTTGCAAGCTCTAGTATGGTCATGGGGTTATGGCAGTGCAAAAGTGCCACCTACCAGATATTAGTAGTATGACACCCACCTAGACTCCAGTGACAAATTCTAAGTTTGGAGATCCACCACTACTATTGATACTATCATACTACCAATACCATCAATACTGTCAATACCACCAATACTGTCAATAGGATCAATACTGTCAATATAACCAATACTATCAGTACAATCAAGACTATCAATACCATCAATACTGTCAATTGGTTATAGGATGCAAATATAAGTTTGAGCCTTTTCTAGCTCTAAGACAAAAGATAAAAGCCATTCTGTGTTTAAGAGCCATGAAAACAAACCAACTGTACAAAACTAAAATATCATCACTGATATGAATGTTACTGATCGAATGCACTAAGTTCAGTAGAAAACATATCATTTTTAATGAATTAATTGTTCTATCTTTTAATCAAGAGTTTATTTAGAATTTATTCTTTGTGTGTGTGGACGAAAAATAAAGATATGAGTGTTGTGTGTTATTGTTTGAACGTGTGTCTTCTTAAAAGTGATTTTTTTAATACCAAAGACACAATGTGCTAAAGGAAATCCCCCTTCCTTTCAAATGGAATATTCTTACTTTGTTCGACAATATACGTCAATCTCTTGATGGGTATTTGCTTAAGTCAACGCCCCTGAAGTTTTGGTGACATCACAAGAAATGGTTCTCTGTGTGTCGCGTGACAACAGTCCATACGTACTAAGTGCTAGCGGAAGTCAAATAAACACACTGTCACGGGTAGCATTTGATCACAAACTAGAAAGGGTGCTTAGAAGTTCAAAGAAAGCCATCTAAAGTATGCAGAAAACTTAGTATCTTCGGAAAAGGGACACAGATCGTTGTGCAAGATAGTTGTAAAAAGCTACAAAATTAAATGTATAGAAAATATAGAAAAATTAACTACATGTAATATAAAGGAAAAGCCACATGCGAAATCACGTCTGTGAAATCTTACATATTATTAAGCATACTAGTAGCTATCTCAAACATGCAATGCTAAAATATGATACATGAAGCAAATTATTGAAGTTCCCGGCAGCTTATACTTGTATATTTACAGTATTTAATCTTCACTTAAAATGGTTCAGAATTCATTATTCTTCTGCCCTTGTTTACACTCTGATGTACAACAATGTTAGCCCTGTGCCATTTTGTATACCGAAGTAGCCATGAGAAGTTAAACACACATGACACTCAAATTAATCAATGTGTGCAGGTTAGTGACAGGCCTTTGCCCTAAGGCCATACCGTCTTGATTTAATGGATGACATCCTCTGAAGACCCCCAAAGTAATGCGCGCGGGAGAATGAAAAAAGATGCTACTAAACCACAGGAATACAAAGCTGGTATAATTTGTGAATTTACGGCAGTACATAGCGACGTATACGACAAGCCGGCGCATGCTGGCTTTTTGCGGAATCTATGAGGCGGCACTGTAACGTTACTGTTATGTGTGTATTTACGTACATGTACTGAGTTTTTGAGTCATGGACCTTCGGTAGCCTGGGTGCCATCGTCCACAGTTACCACCGGCTCCGTATTGTTGCTAACTACCATGGACTACCCAAGCCTAGAACCAGGCTTCTTGTTTTTTTTAAAACAGGCGAAAATCAATGCGCGCGCGGATGTCATCCATAAAATTAATCGGTATGGCCTAATGACGTTCCAAACTATCACTGAGTCTCAAAACCTGGCAGCAGCACGAAATGTTTGTTTGTTTTGTTGATGCAAGCGGCTGGTTGTTCCCTTTTTCTTCTCAGCCGAAGTAGGTGCTAAATAAACATGCAGGTCGTTCATTTTATTTATCGTAAAATCTGCCCTGACAAGACCTACTACCACAACGCCCGTCATAAGCCTTGCAGGTTTGAGGTTGGGGTTGTGTATGGCGGCAGTTGTAGGCCATAGTCACATAGACGTACCTCTGAAATTCTCTCTCTCTCTCCCCCCCTCCTCTCTCTCTCTCTCTCTCTCTCTCTCTCTCTCTCTCATATATATATATATATATAATGTCCTTTTTCTCTCTTTCTCCCTCTCTCTCTCCCTCTAGGCTCTTTCTCTCTCTCTCTCTCTCTCGTTCTAACGCCCTAAAGATGCATATAGCCATTTTGGCAAAGCCCTCAGAACTGTGGTTTCTTGACCAAAGTAAAGTTAATTTATACCTGCCAAAAGACATGTATCTTCCACAATTGAAATATTTCTGCCTCACTTCAACACTGGAAGTGTGCACTTTGCAAAAGATCTGTCGTCTCGATCGAGTATTTGTTTAGCTATTATATAGCTTTTCAACGTGGATTGTTTTTGTTCTGTGCAAGATAATAAATTCTCTGACAATATTCTCTATAGAACATAGAGTAGAACATAGAATAGAACATAGAGTAGAACATAGAATAGAACATAGAGTACAACATAGAACAGAACATACATAGAACAAAACATAGAACGCGACGTGAACCCTTTGCAAACAATCTGTCCAATATCTAATTTGCTTATCTTTTCAATAATGATTGTTTTTGTTCTCTCTCTGACAGTGCCTGAGACGATACAGGCTGAAGCGGTGTTTTGGCAGACCCTTGTGTAGCCCCACTTGACTCATGTTGCCCCGTGTGTACACAGGGTAGTACCTTGCGTACTGGTTAGCACACAAACTCCTCACTAGAACAAAAGCTGTGTTCATTCCGCTCCCGGGCACGATCGCTATTCAATCCCACCACCACTCAACTTCTACTCTGTCTCTACAACAGGCCGACAGGCGTCGATACCAATGGGGTCTTGACTGACAGGAAACGTCGATACCAAGGGGGTCTTGGGTGAGGAAAAACGGACGATTTTTTCTTGTCTTCCCGGTAAGGTAATTATGAATTCGTGGATCACTAAGGACATGTAGTACCGTGTGGTTACACAGACTGTGTCTACAGTCGACTATTTGCTGTGCATGCAGATACAGGTCTTTTTTCACTGAGATATACAGACAACGATAGGGTCCATCGTTGCCGTATATTTTTACCAAAGTTTCTTCGTTGAGGTGAGTTAGGACAGGAAATTCGTTATATCAACTGGAAGACAAGATGTCGTTTTGAGGCTGACCAAAAATATCCAAAAAGGAAGAATCAACGACGGCAAGGTTGCTTTGAAAGACCTTGTCATTCTGGAAGTCGGGTTAGTTTCACCGGTGCGAAGCAAGCTCTTAACGAAAATCCTCGCTAAAGGTCGTGACCTCATTTGTCACAAGCCGGACAAGGTGAAAAATAGTTCCGTGAAGAGGGACCGGTCTTGGAAACTTCGCTATTTGGCGCTAAACAAACGAAGGAACTAAACACCGGTCTCGACCAGAGGTGGACTGCGTGCGACCAAAACAGACTTCTACTAGAGGAGAACTCTGGACACACAATGCCGGGTGATATATTGCTGTAAGTAATCAAGCACTCCCGGGTGTTGCGCTGAGAACGTCGTCTGTGTATCTAGAACTCGTACATCATGGGGGAGAGAAGCCACCACATGATAAAGCGGTCAGGAAGCGGAGCTAAGGACGTCCGGAAACTCAACAGGGCCAGGGTCGTGGTGCTGGGGCATCCGGGCTGCGGGAAAACAGGTGAGCCGGGCGGCAAACTTGGAAAATAGAACATAGTCAGTAGAACATAGAACAGAACATAGAGTAGAACATAGAACAGAACATACCATAGGGTAGAACATAGAGTAGAACATAGAGTAGAACATAGAATAGAACAGAGCATAGAGTAGACTACATAAAATAGAACATAGAGTAGAACGTAGAATAGAACATAGAATAGAACATACATGGAACAGAACATAGAGTAGAACATAGAATAGAGCAGAACATAGAACAGAACATAAAATAGAACATAAAATAGAACATAGAACACAGGATAGAAAGCTCATGTGGCGTCGAATGGCTGAGAAGCCAGCTTGAAGAGTACTGTATTTTCTGCTTGAGTATGTTCTTTCCGGATCTGCCACCGGCGTTGTAAGTAGCATCCTACAGCTATTTCCTGGTCGAAGTCACGGTGCTTGTTTTCTTCAAAACATCGAGATAAAGGCGCGACATCTCAAGTGTTCTTAACTCAAGAACTTAATGAGCCCTTAGGACGACTCATTACGCCCACTTAAGTGCCCTTAAGGAAATACGAGCTGCGATAAAAGATACCTTAAGGTGTAGATATATGGTTTGTTTTTACGTACCTAGTTATTTGTAGGTCATTTGAGAGAGTAGAAAGGTGAAAGACGTTTTCTCTTTGTTGACTGTCGTCAATGATTTGTAGACAAGGTCCTGCATTTTTGGTCTTTGAAAAGACGGTATTTTACTTTCAGGAAAAATGTGGAAAAGATTACTCTAGCTCTAACTCGTTCTTGTATGCCCCCTCTCTTCCTCACTATTTATGTCTTTCCAGTCTCTCTCTCTTTCTCTGTCTCTCTCTCACATGCACACACACACACACACACACACACACACACACACACACACACACACACACACACACATGCACACACACACACACACACACACAAGCAAACACACACACAAGCAAACACACATACACATATACTGTTCTCTTCACTGAGCTCTGAAAGACACTTACAAAGTTAAATCATGTTGCTTGGCTGGTGGAATGTAACCCATATGGTGACCGTCCTTGCAAAGAATCCTGAAAACTTGACGCAGGAACGCCAAAGAAAAACTCGCTGCCGTTGCGTCTTTTGGTGGTCAGCAGCTTTTCCCAAGCTGTGTTTGCGTTTGCATGCTTTCCAAACACCCACCGCTACTTGTTCTTGAGCTGATCCAATTTCAGTAGTTTTTTCCTTTCTTCATTTCTTCCTTTCGTCTTGTGCAATAAAAACTTTGACTTCGTAAATCCTTACATAGAATAGAACATAGAAGAGAACATATAGAATAGAACATAAAGTAGAACATAGAACAGAACATAAGGTAGAACATAGAATAGAACATAGAGTAGAACGCCTTCGTCTTGTGCAATAAGTTTAATACATAATAATAAAACTTTAAATTTGACTTTGTAAATCCTTTTATATAGAGTGGGCCCTTTTTTTCATATCTAACTTGTACACCTCCATTTCAGCCCTGTGTGTGAGATTCCTGACCAGACGGTACATAGGAGAGTATGAGCCCAACAAAGGTAAGGTTTATACCATTCTACGTACGTTAGTTAATGTTATATTTGGACAGTCAACAGGCAAATAGACGTTGAGAGTTAACTAGGTCATTGTTTTGAGGAGAAACAACGAAACGGTTTGTGTGGATGGCTGGACAGGACTGATTCATTCGCGATGGTACATAAAAATAGACGGAAAACTTTCATTCAACTAGAAAGGCCGACATCAGTTGCTCGGGAGCAAATGCAGCAAATGGCTTCACCACATCCCCCGTACCAAAAACGAACCTATATCCCCCTCCCTCACAAATGGATCGTTCCTAAATCACACTTGTCCAAAATGTGGAGTGTTCCAATAGTCTATGCTATATACGAAGCCATAACTAGGCAAACTGTGTAAGACTGTTGACCACCTAGATATGTGTGACAGGGGCTTCAAATGCATCGACTTTATCTGTTATCAGGGTTTTTAAAGGTTACAAACATTTGCCCTTTCTTGGGTTGCTAGGTTTAGAACACAAGAGTGCAAGACACAAACCATTGGTTAATATTGACCTAAGCGTCGTGCTAGCGTTGAAAGCAGCTACTACCAAAGCCAAACCTTTGCCAAACAATCCTGACATTGTAACCCCTTTATTTTCACCTTTTGATGGCAAAGCCAGTTGTTGTCTTCTCACGAAATTGCCATTTCATTGATATCAGCGATAACAAACGTTTAAAAGGTTTTCAGAGCCCTTGACTTGTTTGATATTTGGCGCCACGTCTGCCATGGCATTGGTATCTTTATGGGGTACATAAAGGAAAGGATGGAATTCTCTCATCTCCAAGCAGATCCTAGGGTGGCAAAAATACAAATTAGCCAGGCATCCTTTGGCTAGAAAGGGTCCATGCGCGACCCAAGGATCTGCAGAAAGTCGGTGGGGGTAGCGACAAAAAATAAGCCATATATAAAAAGCTAACGGTCTTCCCCCATCAACCTCTGCTTGGAGAGTAGGAATTCTCCTCTGGTATTAAAACACCGGTTATGTCACGAACAAGGCTCAAATATTTTCCACGCCAAGGGCCGGAGGAACTTGCTTCATGTTTGTTATCTTAAAGACATAACCTATTCGTTTAACATAATCTATCATAGATATCAGGTAACCTAATCTGTTACTAAGTACTGTCAAATAATGTGTTAAGCAAGTCAGAAATTGTCAGATACGACATTAAGAACGTACTGACTACCGAGGGATGTAATATTGACAGATTCCTTTGTGCGAAGGTCAACATCATTAAAGAAGTAAAAATGGCGTCTGACTGTCATGAACAGGGTGTTCGATTCTTAAATATAAAAAATCAAGCTTTACGTGTCAGTATACTTGTGAGATTCTGTCCTTTCTTGAAACTATCCAAAATTCTCAATATTATATAACATTATCATATACAATATTGATAATATCGAGCATTATCAGATTGAATGAATTTGCAATTGCCTTCGCCAGTTTTGCAACGGATACTATGCTATATTACTATATAGGCTTTCAACCCAATTAGACACAACCTCAAAACTGTTTTTAAAAGTTGGTGCCCAATCTGGGGTCACATTAATCTCCAAGCAGATCCTAGGGTGGCAAAAGACAGCATCCATTGGCTGGCGTATTGGACGTCGACCCTTTCTGGCCAATGGATACTGTCTTTTACCACCCTAGGATCTGCTTGGAGATTAGGGTCACGTAGGCCATCGGTCTAGTTCTTTTTCAGGCAGAGACATCAGACTGACTTTGTTCTACATCATTAACTCTGTGTACGAGTTTCTGCTACGAAGTCACGTTGGTTATATTTGGACAGTTCACAGACAAATAAACGGGAGACTTTGGGAGTTAACGAGGTCATTGCTTTTGGGGAGAAACAAAGAAACGATTATTGTGTGAAGGTTTGGATTCGTTGGATGGGCTGATTCGTTCTATGGTACGTAAGAATATCCAAAGCTGGTGGCGGGGTCGTGTGGCGTAACGGCACAGTGCTCGACTCGGAACCAAGAGGTCCCGGGTTTGAGTCCTGACATGCCACCGATCTTGTGCCCTTGGGAAAGGCACTTTACACGACTTTCCTCACTTTCCTCAGGTGAAAAAGAGTACTGCCCTGTCCTGTATCCGTCCTCTGCGTTGGTGGCGGCATGAAATAAGTTGATATAACTTGAGTGATACGGAATACACAATGTTGTATTTTATATGTATCATCCCACGTAGAGGCTACTCTCTAAGCAGAGGTTTTACTCAGTACCGTCTGACCTTATTCAGGGGGATTGGATGATGGGAAATTGTTACACTGAATGGTAATTAAATCAGTGTCCCGTACTTTGTAACAAAGCAGGTACTCAAGCCACAGGCGATGTAGCGATAGTCTGAGTATCATGCAGCATACATGATACTCATGTATCAGTCATGGTATCCCCTCCCCCCTCTCTCAACACCATCGTATTCGATATACCTGCTAATTATAGCCATACACAGAATCATATGTAAAGGGAGGGATATCGACGGGAATTGGTTACACCGCTCGCCGAAAAAAATAATTAAATCCACAGCCCGACAAGTTTGCCAAGGAGGCAATAATATATAAACGACTGCTTAAAAAGTACCGAAACTAATGATTAGCCCTACTAGATTGTAACACTTTATCAAAGACTAGCCCTTGTTGTTTTAGTAGTTAGGATCGTAAGTTCTATTTAATACCTTTTTTGTGTGTGTACGTGGGTGCTATGTTCAGTAGTCGTTGCCATACGCTGTACTTCTTCAATTGTATGTTGGCCCAGGCTTTCAGGTTTACACAGAGGTAAGTCCTGAGTCAACACTGTAATCTGAAGCGGTGTCTTCAGGAGTTGATAATGCTGAGGTGTGACTTTCCCACCAGGGATAATGAGGTCAATCAGTATCGCCTCGTCATTCATACTGATACTGATATGAAAGAAGCATTGTCCAGAGCCTTAATCATTAAGAAAGCTATAGTGGGTGTACACTAGCCACAGCCAGGCTTCGAGAGGTGGCTAGAAAGAGCAGAAATTGGCCAAATAGAGAGATAGCAAGCCGAGGGAGATGGTCTGATAGAGAGTACATTTTGGCGCACCTGATGTACTCTCTAGCGAACCAACTCCCTTGGCATGTTATCTCTCTATTTGGCCAATTTCTACTCTTTCCAGTCGCCTCCCGAAGCCTGGTAGAGGCTAGGTGTAGGTGTACACAGGTACAACCATACATGTACCTAGCGGTTATCTACGATACTGCAGGCTTACTACGGATTGTTTTTTCATTACACAGAGTCGACCTACACAACAGACACGGTGGTTGACGGGGAGACCATCCATCTAGAGATTCTAGACACGGCAAGAAAGGTAACTCCCTCTAGATGTCACTAGATGTCAGTTTTGCCCAAGTTTTCAACGGTCTGAGAATTCTGCATCGACAACAAACCCTTAACTAGCATGAAAGTTCATCTGAGTTGGTAAGATACATAAAGAAAATTAAACTGTTCTCCGACTCAAAAAGAAATTAACTCACCACAAATTTTTGACTGAATCGCTCTTCATTAGCTTTATGACTCAAGTGCCGTGTGTGACGTCAACACTGGGTCAAAGTTCGTCGGAAGTCGGTACCGCCCTCCGTCACGGTCGTTTATGTACAGAGCTATAGGTAAAGGTTCTACTTTGCTTAAACATCAACAACTTTTCTCTGTTTCAGCACCAGAATGAGAAAGTAAGTCTGGACGCCTCCATCAAGTGGGGAGACGGTTTCATCATCATGTACTCCGTCACAGACCGGGAGAGTTTCTCCGCAGTCAAGCGGATCAAACGACTCATAGACGCCGCTAAGGTATACAACAAAGTCAGCTAATACTATCATGAAAGTTCATCTGTGTAGTTACATGTTTAAAGTTTAAACTTTTAATCCAACACAGCAAAGCTCTCTCAGCTAGAGCTTTCGACCAGTCACTCTGGTCTTCCTCAGTAGACTCAGTAGAAGAAGACCAGAGTGACTGGTTGAAAGCTCTAGATGAGAGAGCTTTGCTGTGTTGGATCGAAAGTTTTAACTTTAAACATGCGAATTATGTAGTAATTGTTAGTTTTCCGTGATTTCTTTGTTTACTAATGTATAGAATTATTTGGTTTCTGTATTGTATTTCTTCTACTTTGTGCTTATAACTGTAATAACAGTTTTTATGCATTTGTTTTTCTTCACCTTTTTATGAAATTCGATACTCATTTGTTTGTATGATTTAATAAAATGTCATTCTCGTCATTCTATTGCTTATTTATGTATGTTAACGTTATAATCAACATTAAATGATAATTGACTGATACTCTAGGTGTTGGGGAAGCCCACGAAATGACCACTAAGTTTCTGGCCTCACCCCCTTCACGTTCCTTGTTATTGATGTTACTACATAATTTGTGTCCTTATCATGCCTACATAAAACAAACAAACAAACAAACCACCAGGAGACGCTGGGCATCCCTGTGATTATCGTGGCGAACAAGCGGGACCTGGACCGGAGCAGGACCGTGCGGTGTGCCGAGGGACAGGAGCTGGCGGGGGAACTGTCGTGTCCGTTCTTTGAGGTAAGAGAAAAGCTGCTTCGTACGATTCACAGTATTGTTGAAACCTTTTTCAAAATTCATGCGCGCGTGGATGTCATCCATATAATGAAATCAACATGGCCTAACATAAGCACAATTACCTGCACTCTCTCTTCCAGACAAGAATGACAAAGTGGAGTGGGCTTGGTAAATATTTATTCAGTGGAAAGACTGTAGAAATCCACGGGAGGGTGGGTGGGGAAAACACGTGTGTTC